TTTTTTTTTTTTTTTTTTTTTTTTTTTTTTTTTTTTTTGGGGGGGGGGGGTTGGCTCCCGTAATGGAAAGTGGTCTTCACGGAGGGTTCGGGCCAAAAACGAGGTTCTTTAAAGCAAAGGCTTTTATAAATCAGATCCTCGGATGTTGAAGTAGTGCATATAGTAAGCTTTTTGATATAGCATCCTAAGGTAGGGGTCAATCTCGGACGCTGCGATACGTTACCATATGGATAGATGCCACAGGTTCCACAGAGCATGATAGAGGGGTCCAGAGCTTTCAAGCCTCCAAAGCCTAAATCTTCATCACCTATAACTTTATGATTCTACTTGCGGGCTTTCTAGCTTCTTGCACCTTCCCGCGGTCCTCAGCGAATGGATCATGCAGACAAGCTATACAGTAGCGCGGCTTTGCTATCAGGGTGGCTGGCAAATTAAGCCATCCAGCTCTTCAAGCATTGCCGGGTTGTGCTCCGCACATACCCCAAAAGGGTTTTTCCATGTGCACCGCAATCATTATGATTTGTTCTTCTAAGAACCCGAACCCTGAAGCTTAGTTCTTCTTAGACCAGACCCTGATGAGCCCCAGACCCAGAGGTACGGCCTTAACCGTGCCAGACAGGGGGCAGACACTGGAGGTTTAGGTTGCGGCGTATGTGCTTGTTCCCGAGGTTGCAGCATGCTTTAAAGCATGGTAGCATAGTAGTAGTGATACAGAACCTTGAGCCGTCAAAGCCGTAGCACACGCTCGGCCTGCACTCGCTCAGCAATTCAGAGCGGAGCGCCATGTTGTCTCAGAGTCCTTGAGGTGGGAAACTACAGAGGGCGCGAAAGCCCATGAGTCGGAGTGCCACCGTGCCCGACAGGTCCTGGCTGGGCTCAGTGCCCCCTGCCCGCTCTCGAACCACGCTCATTTCCTGAATTCGGATGACCGTGGTCCAGGTGACACTTCGATTTCTTTTGCACATCCGAACTTCAGGCAGCGCCTGCAACAGCCTAAGGAAAGAATGTTTGATGTGCGCTGCAGCCCCATGTGCTGCATCCAGCAAGCACAAGTCTGGCAGGCAGCTTGATTCTCCTCTCTCGCCCATGTTTAGGATCTTTCACCATAGTCCACATATGTCTACATGTTATATGCAGAGCACTTGCGTGCTACGTATACTATACTATATACTATAGCACTTTTTGGCAAGAACCGGACCTCAGACTAGATGGCCGTTCCCAACCCGGGCTGTCACGGTTCCATGTCGCTTTCGGCTCATAGCAGCCCCGCACCAAGATTTGTATTTTGCTGATGTGCAGTCCTTTGGTTTCGTAGAGAGTGTAGAGACCCCACACATGCTCTGACAATTGCTTGAGATGCACTCCCTTGACAAAGACGATTCAAGCGTCTCGACTGAGAAGAGATATGTGCCGTTCAGCCAGCGTCGCTTGCCGGAGTGCACGGATTCGATTTTCTGATGGTCATCTGGGTTGCTCAGACTAATCAGTAAACCCTAACCCCTAAACCCGAAAACCTATCTCCCCTTTTCCGTATGGAGACCTTCCGAAGCTTTGCCTGCCGTGCGTGAGAGTAAGAGTATGGTTCGAGCATAGGTTTAGGATGCCGTAAGCCCTAAACCCTAAACCTTTTTTTCCCGGCCAAAAAAAAGGCCGAGAGCTTGGACGACCGCTAAATCGGTCAAGGCCAGAAAATCACGCTCGCATTTTTGCACTTTGCCGTCCGCCGCCATGCCCTGAAGGGGCCGAATGCGGAACAGAGTGGACAGTGGGTTTTTTCAATTGCCAATGGCTGGCTGGGCTCAGTGCCCCCTGCCGGCTATCGAACCGCGCTCATTGCCTGAATTCGGACCGTGGTCCAGGTGACACTTCGATTTCTCTTTTCACAATCCGAGGCACGGCTTCTTTCAGTCGATTAGTCGTGCGGCGAGAAAAAACGCTGTTACATGTCCTGTCAGAGTTTGTTGATCAGAAGAATATGCTCTTATGCAGTTGGCATCTGCAGCAGCATGTGAAGGCAGCGAAGGCAGTGAAAATGGCAACCGCAATCAAGCTTGGCTCCTGTTCCCGCACACGGCGTGCGGAAGAGACGCACGGAGAGGATTGCCAAGCGTGCCAAGCTTAGCAGAATTGTCAAGTATAGATTAGAAAGAACTTCGAGCGTTTCTTATCGCGATTGAGAAGGCACTCAACATCATTTCGAATCTTACCAGTTTGTGGATTCTTTGTCGCTGGGTATTTAGGGGTTTGGGGCAAGCCTGCAGAGTTGGCTTTTTTCCGAGGAGAGACGTGCAAATGTCCTCTCTTCTTTGTATAGCAGTTTTGTATGGCGACCTTGCGAGAGCAGGGCCTACGAGAACGTCGAAAAACCTCGCCGCCCAGACGTCCTGACTCAACGTCGTTATCCTCGTCATAGTCAACAAGTCCCATGCGAGGAAAGAAATTGCGTTCAGAAATTGAAAAAACATCTGGCGGAACCCGAGGCTCTCGGGCGTTCGGTTTGGGGGTTCAGAAACTGAGGAGTAGATTGTAAAACGTAAAACAGCTATGGGTATAGAGATTTCGGAGGTGATGGTTTATGGGCTTGGGGCTTAGATTTAGTCATAAGAAAGCTATGAGCACCGATGCGCACTTTGATGCTGGCTTCTGGTTTGTTTCTGCTGACCCCCTATACTTGTTTTGCTGCAGCGTGCTATATGGTACGTTGTATAGGCGCCGTCGTACTTGCTGTATAGAAAGGACGTCGTCTTCGCGGCCATAGCAGCAGTAGCAGCGCACACACAGTGATCAACAGTAGAGTGCTCTCGAGCTCGCCTTGTGAACTCCAAGGCACCTCGTCTTCTCGAAAAGCACAGCCACAGCACGGGCCCTGGGCGAGTAGTAGATGGGGGCCCTAAAGTAGATAGAGTGTGAGGAATATGCTATAATATACCATTATCGAGATTCTTAAGGATAATCATCGTACTTTAGGGTTTAGGGTTTAGGCAGGGTGTGGTGCTCATCCTCATGTAACCCATGCATTCTCCATTATTCTTCCAACCCCCTCATGCCCAGGTTTGTGGCTCTGGGGTTGAGTCAGGACCTGGGGTTGGGAGGACAAGTTGAGTTCAGGGCTTAGGGCTCAGCGCACTTTCGGGTAGCTTCCAAGGGAGGCGGAGGGAGGGGGAGGGGGAGGACTCCTGGAGGACCTATCCGAATTCGTTTCTTTGGGTTGTGCTCGAGGTGTGGCCACACTAGCGTCCCGGCAACGAGAAAACGTTCCGAGTTGCTCATCGAAAATGCCATAAACGTGCATGTCGCAAGGTCGAGAGAGGAATGTTGCAGCGGCGCTGCAGCATGGTGGAAGGCAGAAGAGGATGTGAAGAGAGATGAGTTCGAAGCCTTACGGCCACTGTGTCCGTCGGAATTCTAGGGGCCCCTCTGGAAGCACCTAGGGGATCCCAACAGATGGAGATAAGAGGAGCTGAGTGCACCTCCAGATTTTGCCCATGTCAGTGCACTCGAGCAGAGCGGGCAGCCCCCAAGTCCCCGGCTAGGACAAACCTAAAGGCATGTAAAGGCTTTGAAAGGACTGAACACTGACAGAACGCGCATGCGTACATTGGTGGAGTATGTGACGCCGACGCGTGTCTGCATGCGGGTTTGTGGCTCCTATCAGATATTTTGTGTGCATGTTATCCTCAATCAGTTTGTAGCGTGTTGCTGTCTGGCAATTGCCTTTGCAGGTTGTGCTAAAGACAAGAGCCGGATCGCGCCACCGGCTGATCTGCAGATATCTGTGGTTTGACGGAGTGAATGGCTGCGGCTGAAGCCCAAATGCACTGAGGCCCTGCAACACAGAGTCCTGTGGATGGCTGCGCCCTTGAAACCTTTGCAAACCTTTGCACACTGTCGTTACAATAACTTGGAAGTGTCAGCATTGTGAGCACCGCCTTGATGGGCAAGGTGAATGGGGTCAGTGGAGCGGTTGGACTGTGCCCAGCTTGGTGCAGTGGAGTTGGAATGGCGGCGGTGGCATGTGGCCGTGCATGCACTGACATTCGCGCTGCAGGTTCTGCAACCTGCGGAACTGCTTACAAATCCCGACGTCGTGCCGTAGCGGCTTGGGGCTTGGAACATGTTGGCACAGTTTGTATTGTGGAATCGCGATTTCGAGTAGGTGCGGCCCAGTAAATGTGGGAAGCCGGAATGCAACGTCGTTCAAGACTGCATCATGGGCGAATGGAATCATTGGTGTGCCACTGCATTGTTATGGGAGACATCTGTCTGTGCGCGTGAGCACAGCTCATATTTTAATTTGATAGGTCGCGCTGCAGTTGTAGCTGTTTCGGCATTCGGGAAAGAAACCGAGTCATTGAGCGATTTGCCACCCAGTGCGGAGAGTCAGGTAAGTAACATGACAGTCATGCCGCAGTAACGTGTCTTTTCGAGTTTGATGATGAGACCAAGGTCCTGCAATGGCACGGCCAAGGAAGTTGTACCCTGCAATCCTGGTGTTGGGCACGAGCTACGGCAGCAAACGGGTCACAATCTCAAAGAATCAGGGAATAACAGCTGCTTGCAGCACGTTGGGTAAATCAACCTCCATGTTGTGACGCCAAGGAGCCCTCTGACCAATGCGGCGCCAACCGACGGAGGCAAGATTACGCTCGCTTCCTACTTTACAGTCTGCGTCTGCTTTATTCGTGTGTTTGGCATTAGGTCTTTTCTTCTCCCACTTGGAAGCTCCCCGTGTAGCCCTAGAAAGACTCTGCCTGGCATGTCTGAGTGTCTGAGAGTCTCGCCAATTTTTGGCCGTGAAAAGCTCCGTCCTTTCTGCTTTCAATGCACTCCACGGCTTCAATTCGGCAGTAGTGCCATCCATGCACGGCCACACTCTTGGGGAATACTGCCCAAGCGGTGGCATCTTGCCAACACCATGGTGTTCGAACGAGGTAAGGGGCTTAGATGGGCTTAGTTTGCCAGATCTGCAGGGCGCGGGACTCTGCTGGAGGCGACCTCGCATGTTGGACCACATCGCGCTCTTGCCTAGGCGTAGGCTCACCCGAAACATCACGGAACGTGGTTTTCACTGAAATAGCAGGATTCTGGCCTCGTTGCAGATGCCAAATCGTGCTCTAGGTCCTGCGCACGTTTTCCGTTCTGTACGTACACCAAATCATGCTCCCACCAGGCGGCTCCCGAGATGGGTTGAAGAACCTTAAGTTGAACTTGCTGTTGCCTTGACACCAACAACTCCTTCCAAAAATAGGCCTCCCAGAGATACCGAAACGCCAAGCGACTCGGGGTCTTCCTGAGCGCATACATCGGGGGCCTGAGGGTTGAGTCCTGGAAGTTGCGAGTATTTTCAGAACACTTCCTACCGAGCGCAGGCAAACCACCTTTTCTGGTGGCGTGGAGTTGTAACCGACGGCAGCATGCCCAGAGGGACCTTCTTGAGTTGAGTTGCTTCAATGTTATTAGTGTTCAGCGACCGGATCAGCTGCATGCAACCACGCCATGTGCACGCCGAGGGAAACTGCTGATGCTCATGATGCGCTCCCTTTGGGAGGCCTCCGTGGCTATCTCATTTTCGTGCAAGAAAAAACCGTTCACCGGCGGCACGGAGGCTGGGCTAAGTGGTGTTGAGACACCCTTTCGCGAAAAGTAGTCATTTTTTGGATTTGGATCGAAGTAACTCAGCCGTCCGGCCTAATTGTGCTGCGCACAAGGCTATTACGACAGCGCGGGGGTCGCCCGTGTTATACAGGTTCGCGCCAGGCCGCAAGGGCCATGGCGCTGCCCGATTTAATGGCTGGCGCCAGTGCCCTCCAAATAGTTTGGAGCTTTCGAAAGCATGCCTGCTCCAGGTCGAGGGATTACTGAGGACGCAAGCCTCAGGCTGAAGCCAAAGCAACAACCGACCAAAAGCAACAAGCTAAACCCTGTCAATTTCCGGACCTGAACCCTTAGACAAGTGCTACAATTAACAGCCCACAACCTTCTGGGGCCTAAATTTGGTGAGTAGACTCATGCATAGAAGCCCCAAAAAATCGCTAGAAATAGCCACAAGCCTCTATGGGCTGCACAGCCCAACCCTCTGGCATGAGGGGCTATACGGCCCACTCATCCTACCCAACAGTAAAGGCCGTTCAGCCCATGACCCTTTAAGGCTCTCGGGAGGGGTTGGGCATGCATTGGGATGGAACTAAAGTAAAGTACGCTAAGACCACTCAAAACAAACCCAAAATAGCTTAGTCGGCAGCCAAAGTGTGCCTCAGTGGGCGCCGGTGGGCGCGGGTGGAGCTGGAGAAGTGTTGGGAATGCATTGGGAATGGGGCTAAATTACTCTAATGCCACGAGAAAGAAGCCCAAAATAGCCTAATCGGCAGCCGGCGGGTGCGGCTGGGCGCGATCGAGCCTCTCTCTAAGCCCCTGGCTAGCTCAGCGGAGGCTTCTGTAACTGCAGCATGAAAAACCTCGAGAGGTCCCAATAAAACCAGTAGAACCAATGCCCGGAGGGTCTCCGTCCAGGAGCTGAAACCGAAGATTGGGACCTCTCCAGGCTTTCGTGTTTGGGAACCCCAAAACATTGGGACCTCTCGAGCTTTTGCTAGGTACCCGCGAAACATTGGGACCTTTAGAGGTGTTGAGGTTTCCGGAGACCAAAAACGCTGAGAGGTCCCAATGCTTTGGGTCCCCCAACGCTCAAAAGATTGGGACCAGTCAGCATTTTTGGTCCCCAGGCCTCATGATGCTCGCCGGGGCCCCCAAAAGCACCCTTTTCAGGTCGAAAGTAAGCTCAAAATCATCGGTGCTTTGGAATGCTTTTGAAGGTGCTCTCGCGATCCGGCCTGGTCCAGAAGGGCCCCGGAGGCCGCGGAGGTCCCAATGATGCCCTCCTGGGGCGGGTCGGCGGCGCTGCGTGCCCATCCCATTGCGAAAGCAAGGGCTTCCGCCCTAGCGGGCGCACAGAGGGGGCGTTGCCCGATTTAATGGCTACCGCGAGTGCCACCGACCCCTGGCGGGCAGCTAGCACCATGAGTATACCGACACAGCGCAAAGATATAGGACATCATATAAAGTCTCGCCGCTCACGCTTCCAGCTATACAACCACGACCACCACTGCCACCACGTTCAGCCCCCCAACAAGCACACCATGTTGACCATGTCCACTCCCAAAGATAGATCATGTAAAGTCGCACCGCTTCCACATCTACCGCTATAACCACGCCCACCTTCATGCGCAACCCCTGAAAGTCTTGAACCGGTGGCTGACATGGACAGGGACATCCGCAACCCTACTTGAAACCCGAAACCCAAGACCCTAAACCTTAAAGCCGAAAACATTCCAAAGCGTCGGTGTTAGGACAAATGGAGTCGGACCAAGTAGCCTTGTCATGTGCATAGATCGATGCAAACAGCACATGTGGTAGCATAACAGCCTGCATCATCACAACCCATGGCGTACTGAAAGGTATTCGGATAAAAGTAGGTGCTTGAAGTGCAATGCTTTCTGCTGCTACTTTGAAGACATCGTTGTAAACTTTGTTGGAATATGCGCCATTCGTCCCAGCTGGTCCGAGTCGCTTGAGCTTTGTGAGATTTCGCTGTTGCTCACTGTCCTTCACCGACAAGGCAGCAATAGCTTGCACAGCTTGTGCAGAGGTGGGGGGGGGGGGGGGGGTGGGGCATGCATTGGAGCGTTGATGAGGAGGACGGGGAGAGTGGGGAGAGTGGAGAGAGCGGAGATACGGGTGGGAGAGATGTGGGGAAAGGGGATGGAACCTTCGGGATTTCACTGACGCCTCCCCCGGAAATCGCTCGTTGCAAGCCATTGTTCAAGCATGGGACGTTCCGGAGGCTCCGTTGAGACTTGAATACCTTTGCCTTTGCCCCCAGAAATCCCTCCCCCTCATGGCACGTCCTCGCATCATCGCAGGGGCTGGAGGCGCAATATTGGTGGTGGGATGTGCTCGTGAAGCGCATTGACGTGGGTTTGATGATGGTCTTCACCTACACGGCGATCGTTCCAGATCCAGAGGCCAAGCTGCTGCTCTTTCCCGTATTATCCGGAATTCAGGTCATTGCCACTGCTTGGCTGAAGCCCTTCATCAACACCCAGGCAGAGGTGTTGGACCTGCTGGACGTCTCCTTGGGCACCGTGCGCTTCATCATCTTCAGCTCCATAGCAGCGCTGTTGATCCTGAGCCCTCGGGAAGCGGCGACTCTCACGATGGCAGTTCTGCTGCTGTTTCTGCTCCTCGGAGCTTTCGCCTATCTTCTGGTCCACATCATTGCACAGTTCCTGCGCCATTCAGCGGCAGAGCGCCACACCACGGCGAAGGGGACGGGCCTCACGTCGAAGTTCAGCTCCGCGGCCACTGTTGGAACGTGCTTGTGTGTGAGAGAGATTGTGAGAGTGTGAGAGAGAGACAGAGCGTAGAAGACAGATAGATGGAGGAGAGAAGGCAGCAGAAGGTGAAATTGCCGTCCTCAGGTTGGGCCCGACGCCTTGCCGTTGAATTCTTGCTGCCAGCATTTCAGCAATCACCTGACGAGAACATCGAGATAAGCTGGTCTTTCGACGGCCGCCAGATCATGGCCCCGGTCCCCCTCGCTCCACCCGAGCAAGCAGCCTGCGAAGAGGAACTCCGCGCCTCGGCAGACAGTGTTGTGATTCCAGAGCAGGTGACAATTCTTGAGCGAAGCCGCGTATCAGGGCTGTCCCGATTCACGGGCCATTTCCGGCTCTTTCCTGTGATTGCCCGATCGTGACTTTTGGCTTCCCGAGCTGAGGCATTAAGCGGTGGCGAGTCATACTTCAGGCCAGAGGGTGGCAATCCCTACGCAGCGTTCGGGCCAGCGTGCTTCGCTTCCACCCGGCAAACCAAGATGCGATCTTGCTCAAAGCGAGCGAGGAATTCATGGCCTTCTTGCTCCACGACCTGGGGCAGCGTGAGTTGCCTGGCGAGGGGCTCAAGGTTCTGTGTGCCCTGGCAACCGCCAACCGGGAAATGCCCCGCAGTTTGGCCAAAAGCCAAGTGGGAAGGGCGTGGCTGGAGGCGGTCTTGGCCTTGATGTCCGGTCCGGAGTGGCAGACGTGCAGTCCAGAGGACCTGGAGCGTGGCATTGCGCGCCTGGCCCAGATGCCCCAGAATGAGGCCGCATTGCTGATCACCCTCATCGCCCAGATCTGCACGGACCAAACGAGAAGCCGCACAGTCGCCGAGCTGGAATGCGAGGGAAGGAGGCTTCCTGAAAAGCGCAAGGCCAGCTTGAGACAGATATGACAGATGAGGGCGTGACCCTATGCCCTATGCATAGCCCGGCTCGGCACACGTAGCATCAGAAGCAACTCGAATCGTCGAAGGTGGCCTCCGACTTCCACCTGACGCTCCTCTCGGAATGGGACGAACATACAAAGACCTCACCAGCGAAAGAGGACCCCGCCCCTGCATTTGCAACGTGCTGCGCTGTTACACCTTGCGCTTCACGTGTCCGCAAGTAGTCGATTCCGCTGCTCAGGACCATGTTTCGGTTGAATGTCAAAACGCCGTCTCTGGAGATCTGCAGGTTCCAGTGCCTTCCTGACTTCTTCCTGCATGTGGCAAACTGTACCATGCATGCGAACTGCTGGGCCCCAGTTTGTCATTGGAGCCACCCGACAGGAAGAAGCCACTGGTCTCCAGGAGGACGCGCGGGGGCGAGCAGACATGCTGGGACGCTTCACGCCTGACCCTGCGCTGAAGGGCATGTCGGCCTTTGAATCGGGCAGCCCAGGCAGGAGCAGCTTCAGGAAGAGGGTACGGCAAAAATGCAGGCCACAAGATAATGTACATGACCTGCAGTGCCTAGACAGCGACAGGCGATCCATCCAGGTTGGCATCGTCGGCAGAGGAGGCACGCGGTGAGCCCGTACCCTCGCTTGAGTTCATGATCGAACGTTCAGGGATGTTTATGGTTGGCAGACGGCAGGAGTGAAGATTTCTTAAACTTGTCTGTTCAAGGCTGATGCTGCTGAGCTGAGGAAGTCGGCGAAACAGTCTCCCTTTAGCCGTGCGATCTCTGTTGCTCGGTGTTAAGCTGTGATTTGCAGACTTGAGAGTAGAGTGTCTATCAAGGTTCTCATGGCTGTCACAAATGTTTCGAATGTGATTCAATTGTGATTGCTGTCATCCCCGTTTGTTGACCAAAGCCTCAGCGGTCATGATGTGGGCTTCAGAGTCGGACCGCGGCCTTGATCGCTGGCTGCGCAGGAAGAGAAGCACAGACAGCAACACACACTTTGAAAAAGGTCGGCACATGTTGTCATGTTGTTGTGTGTGAATGGAAGGGTCAACCATGGCGAGTGGTAGCACACATCGCAGCGTGCTACAGTCGAAGCCCGAAGACATATAACTTATAACTTGTTCCTGTGTTGCGAGAAATGACTGGGGGAGTCGAAACCAAGAAGTCGCAACAATTCAGCGTCCACATTCGGGTTTCGCAATGTTCTGGAATGTTCTGGACATGTGACTGAATGACACTGAATGCAGTCTCTGATCAGAGGCAGCTGCCCTCGCCTTCTCTCCCAAACCCACCGCAGATGTGGGCCAGGTTGTTTACTAAATTGTTTTATGCAGATGTGGGTGCAGGATGTGGGTGCAGGTTTTTTGTATACTCTATTACGCATATGTGGGTGCAGGTTGTTTACTTTTTGTACTCAGATGTGGTGCAGGTTGTTTACGCAGATGTGGGCGCAGGTTGTTTACGCAGATGTGGGCGCGGGTTGTTTACGCAGATGTGCGCGCAGGTTGTTTACGCGGACGTGGGCGCAGGTCGTTTACTATTTTTCGCAGGTGTGGGCGCAGGTTGTTTACGCAGATGTGGGTGCAGGTTGTTGTATTTTATTGTTTTTTCGCCGGAGATGTGGGCGCAGGTAGTTTACTATTTTTCGCAGATGTGGGCGCAGGTTGTTGACGCAGATGTGGGCGCTGGTTGCATTCGCACAGGTGGGCGCCATTAGCGTAAGTAGATGCGGGCGCAGGCTGTTTACGGAGATGTGGGCGCAGTTTGTTTACGCCCATGTGCATGGGCGCAGGTTGTTGACGCAGATGTGGGTGCAGGCTGTTCAATGTGGAGCGTGCAAGGCCGCATACGCCTACAAGAAGCTGCAAATGCAGATGAAAGACAAACATTGAAACGACGCGACAGACTGCTGTGACGAAGCGTTTCCTTGGCTTTGTTGTGACTTTCAGCTGTTTGTTTTCCCAGCAAGCGGGACGTGCAGCATCCTTGTTCTGCATGCTGAAATCCCAGCGTTTCCTTGCGGGCGAAGCGACCTGTTATGACTTCCCAGAAATAAGTCATAACGCGCGGTTCATTGGGGGGAAGGGTCCCCAGCTGCAATTGTTACGACTTAAGGGTCAGACTGCATGGCCGTTGTCTTGCACAGAGCAGCAGTGGTTTGGGCACAGGCCATGCTTGCTGTACGGAGCAGCGACGACTTGCACTCTGCAGCAGCTCACTTCCCGACTGGTGAGCAAGAGGACGCCACAAAACCGTGGAAGCACCCTTCCCGTTGAAGTTTGCGCAAGTAGAATGTAACATCTACTATACTATACTCTAGCATAGTACAGTAATTAAACTAAACGGTGCTGTAGTATTCTTAAAAGGGGTTTGCAATACTGTAACTAGCATTTTTGTTTCCCGGTCATGAGATGGATGCTGTGAAGAGGGCCTGGCCTCAGAACGACATGCCATGGTGAGGACGGTCACGCCGAGAGCAGCTCTTCCCACCTGCCCGGGTCCGGCGCTATACCAAACCGAGCTGGGGCCTCAAGACTCACAGTGAGTTACGCGCTGCCGTCTTCTCAACAGATTTGGGTTTTGATCTTTTCCTTAATCGGGGCCTCGACTAGAGCACAACGATCTTTCGGCAGGGCCACTGCATGCTGTGAGAAGTAGCAAGGCAGGGATCTCATGACAGGATCGGGCAAGAGGGCCGGCGTGCTAGACAGCCCTCGCGGAACTCTTGTGATGCTTCAGAGTTGCACAGCTGCCTAGCTGCCCAGCACTGGTTCGGGGAAGGACGTGTCGTTGCGATGGGTTAGATGTTGTAGGTAAGCTAGGCTTGAGTTTAGTCTTTGGTGGTATCGCAGACCACGGTTGAAAGGCAGCCGTAGGTAACTTCTATCAGGGACTGGGGGACTTTCGGGGGTTGGGGCGTGTGTGTGTCCAGGAAAGAGGGGTTTAAGGAAGAGGGGGTGAAGCGGTGCTGCGGAACCGCTGGCGGTCCGGCGATGAGGGCAGCATGGTCAGCAATGCCCTCATGATGAACCTCGAACAGTGAGGAACTGAGCTTTGAGCTCCCAAGTTCTGAAGAGAAAGTCCTTCCTGGTAGCAGGCTTGCATGTGAGCTGGGGCTCTCTACCGGTGAGGCGATGCATGGGGGTTTGAACCTCCACAAAACCCCGCCACTCTTGGACCGGCAGGTCGGCATAGACGAGATTGAAGTCTCCACCGAAAAAACGAGGGCCAGACCCCTTATACAACACTCTATCAGCTAGGTGGTCTACCAGGCAACGGGCCTGCTGCTTGGAGGTGGCACTCCCATAGCAGACTCCTCCCAAGATCCACCACCCAAAGAGGAAGTTTCCAACCTGAATTTTGGAGGTTCAAACACCGCCTTCGGCCACACATGTGTAGCCGGGCGTGCGGGACATGAAGAAAGGAGGCCAACACCATTGTAGTCATCCGAAAAGTGTGACTCCGCGCGGGGAGGTGACGGCTAACCTGACAGCATCTTGTGCGCTGACCCCGCCATCTGTAAGCCAACCGAAAAGGACTCCACACCAGGTTTGGTGAGATGAGTCTCCCACACCAACCAAACACCTGCCTCGCAGAGTTCAGCCACAACACCATGCTTGGCATTTAGGCCAGTCGGGTTGACAAAATCCGGCCCGCCTCCCCAAGACGGGTAGAACGCCTCGCACAGCAACACCTCCAATGCCAGGCATCTCGGCATTGCACCAAACGCCGTGAGCACAGAGGGACGAAAGAGCCGATCCGGCCCTAGGACTCAGTCTCAAGGCAGCCCCTACAGCCAGGAAGAACCCAGCAACCCCTAAAACCCCAAAGCCAACAGGCGCAATCAAGTAGTCAATCTGTGCGGTGCCGTTTGGAGGCACTGAGGATTTCTTCAATCCGGAGCATCTGATCCTGGAATAGCTTCTGGAGGACGCCTTCCTGCTCGGTCGGGTCGAGGTTGGCATATCAATCTGGTAGTTAGAGGAGATGGGAATGCCGGACATGGCTTGAGTGCAAGACTTCAGGGGAGGTGCTTCGTACACATTCGTACACGTACAGCCTTTAAGTCAGCATGGGGTGATCGTGAGCGACACACCCATTCGGAGTTTTAGCAAGCGAGGAATGTGGGATGTGGGAGAGGAGTAAGGGGTCCGAATAGGGAAGACGGGCACCCTGGAGTAAGGGGTAGGAATAAGGAATAGTGGCATTCTTTGTGACATTAGCATAAGGGATAAGAATAAGGAGTAGGAGCACGGTAGGGAATAAGGTCACCCTGTATTCAGTTAATTCAGGAATGAGAATTCAGACTTCTTATTCAAGAGGCCCGTTACCAGGTCGACCCGCACCTGCAGCAGCCACGGTTTCCTGATCGATTGTTTCACAGAACTCGGATGCTTCGGGGGGAGGGGTGGGGGTGGGGGTGGGGGGGGTGCAATATTGAAAGGGAGGTTTTCCGACAATCACAGTAAAGGACAGAGACGACTCCAGGTTCCTTTCGCGGAACCCTGCCGCGCAACCCTTAACATCATCATCTACATCAAGCAATGTTTCAGTACGGGGGGGGGGGGGTAAGCAAGCATTTGTCAGCTGCGGGCACAAACAACCGTTGCTCGAGAACCCACCTTGTAGTGAGAAATCTTTTTCTTTCGGCAGAAGATATATGAAAAGATGCTGAAGCTCTACATAAGGGATGCTCAACACAACGGTCTCGCAGCTTGACACGAATCTCGGCACAGTTTGAAATGAGCCGATGTCAGGCTTTGCCACAGATATCCACGGCTGGGCGCTGTAGTCCCTCTAGTCCCTGTAGCCCTGCTCTCAAGGTTCGCAAAATGTCATGATCACGAAATATCACGAGGATAAGGCTGTAGCAGAGTCAGAAGCGCTGCTGTGAAGTTCGGCAAGTGAGGATCGAAGTTGGCGGTGTCCGGCGGTAGAGCAATGCTTGCGCCATGTGTTCTCGCAATGCTTGAGCGCCGCGAATGCGCCAGTCTCGTGACCGTTTTGGAATTCAATGCTCGGTCCTTGAGCCGAGCTTCATACTGGTCAACCCGCATGCCTGGAGCAGAACACTGGGATCGCAAAACCACTAAGAAACTCTGAAGCTGGACAAGATTTGGGTCGACCTTCCATATAAAGTAGATTTGTCAGGGCTTTTCCTAGGACATGCACAACTCAAACCGGAAGACTAGTACGAGTAGTACGAGAAAACCAGTGTGAAGGTGGCTTCAGTTGGCTTCTCGTTCTACAGCTCCCATGAGAATGAGCCCTTTAGACTCTAGACCCTGCCTCTAAATATCGGGGGTTCGACGCCCCCTCTATGGGGTTCTCATATTTTGGGGGGTTCCCCCTACCATCCAAGTGCAGCCATGTTGCCTAGTTCTACTACATGTTGCGGTGTGCTTTTCACACGCACCCAAGATTGGCTAGGCACGCGGGCTGTGACACGCCAGGGTCCTGGCCCTTTGCACGGGAGTTCACACGGAAGGGCCCCGCTCCTCTTTGAATTCGGGCCCCTTCTGAAAGGATTCCCCAACTTGCCAGGAACACAAAGATTTCAGACCCCAACCAACACCCTGAAAGCCTCGGCAATTTCGAATGAGATTCCTGGTACGAAGCCCAGAGATTTCTTGACTACAGCGGCCCACTGGCCCAGAGCAAGCCAGCCTGCCAAGTGATACTCGTGAAGGCTAAGCCACAGAAACTTAGTCGAGGAACAGCCGAAGGCAAGGCATGCGATGTGGAAGGCCCGGAAGGCTTGCTCTGCCTGTATCTTCGTTCGGCGTCCTTCCGTCGGCAGACACGGACTTTCCTGACTACACTTTCTCCAGGCGCCTTTCTTTCGAGTAGAGCTAGTAGAGCACGGAGAGTGTAGCCGTGAGAGCACCACCTGAATCTTCCACCCAGCACGTGCTGTGAGGCAGCCGTGGAGCGAGCTTCTGTGGAGAGAGGTCGGAGTTGGCCCACCCGGTCAAAGGTTTTGAAGGTGCTTTCCTTTAAGGAGAATTTGGGGCATGGGCATCAGTCAGGCATTTGGAGCCAAGGGTTTCAGTACTGTGGAAACCCGGGAAGCTCAGAATAGCACAGGGTCCATGAGGTAGATGAGCCCCAGGAAGAGCAGCTGAAACTGGCACAACATTAAGTCGTAAGGGAAGCCGCACAGAGAAGGTTTCTCCACGGTCCTCGTGTCACGTCAGGTTAAGAAGTGGGCTGCTATATGGCCCGAAACCATTGCCGTGACAGGTGTGGAGTCCCTCTGTGAACGGAGAATCGTTTCATGCGCACTCTTCATTCTGCACGCGTGGCGCTCAGTGTTCCTTGAAGTCCGTGAAACAGATACGGTACCAAGTCAGCTGGGTGTTTCTTGGCTGCTTTTCTCGGACCTGTGTGCCTTTGGCCACAGTGAGACAAGACATTCTGACGGCATGTTCCGGGATTAATGCTTTGGTGTGGCTTTGGTGTGCGATGTTGACCTCAGGATTGCTGCAACTCATGCGCTGGAGCGGCTCAGCACCCCGCGCCCCGCGGGCTTCTTACGACCATGTGGACTTGGCCAGATTGCCCACGCATCCCCTAAGTTTATTGCAGCTTGTTCTTTTTGTGCTTCAATGCTTTCTTCTCGTAAGCAAAAGTCTCTGCAGATCGCATCTACCCCGGCCGAAGATCTTTTTTGTGCTTGTTAAAGTCTGGGAGCTATAAGACCTCTGAACCTCATTGAACCTCGATTGCCTTGCTCCTTTGGATGGATGCTGATGAAAGGTTTAGGGTGTAGGGTTTAGAGCTGCCATGAGTTGAGACCGTTGCCCTTTGGCTTTTGCTGCTGGCGCAGGCTCGCTTCTCGAATGCTGAATAGCCTTGGCTCCAGACTCGGCTGCTGCCGCAGGCGGAAAATCCGGCAAAGCTACCCGTTGCAACTCTGCATCTATAGCTGGCTTCACATACTTTGAGAGCTGGCAGGCTTTGTGTCCTTTGTGTCAGGGCGGAAACCCTAGGCCCTATAGCCACTCCGGCCATACCCTCAAACAATGCCGTGATCTGCAGGCACTCTGGAGACTCACTGGAGACTGTTGGGTCTCCGAGCTCTGCTACGCACTTGTCAGAGGCTGGCTCTTTGCACACTTTCTGCTCAGTGCTCCGTTTCCTCTCCGTAGAACAGATAGGCAGTCGAGTACGGGTCAGCTTCGAAAGCATCCGAGAAGCCAGCTGCAGGTCCTTCAGCTGCCTCTGCACTATCACTATCACGCATTGACGATCATTGGCGCATGCCGCAGCCTGAGGAGAGGCTGGACTGTCTTTGTGGATTCAGGCTCTTTGGAATGTGCGATATTGGGGGGGGGGGGGGGGGAAGGTTTCGGGCTAAACTCAAGCAGCTTCAGGGCCATGGCCACACTATCACTAAATGGACTTCTGTTGCCAAGGGAAGCTTCAAGCATGATGTCGTGCATCCGCCGTGTCGCAACAACCTGCAGCGCTCTCATATTGGGTCGCTCTTTCACTGAAAAGCTTCCGCAAAAACTGCCTTCTGGTGACTCTAGGACTCCAGTGAATGGGGGGGGGGGGCTTCAGGAGCACTGCCTTATTGCCAAATGCAAGTTGCTCCGGGAAGTTGCGATGTTGACTATTCATCTTGAACGCCCTCAGGAGACGCTGTGCAGGACAGAGATGCTGTTTCACATGTTTCACTGCAGTGTATTAAAGCATCACATCAAGTGCCCGACTAGCTGGGAATGCGGGACAGTAGGGATGATACCTTGGAATAACTCCCTTGAGAGAATGTCAGGAATGGCCCTGCTAGTGCTGCAGAAAGCAAAAGCAAGCCCTTGCAGTCGCGAGGATACTCGTAGCAGCGCACGTGCCTTTCGCGTCCTTCGCTCAAGGGGAGTATGAAGCTCTTTCTCCGGCATGGCTGAATTAAGGATTTTATTAACACGTTTCCCAATCTTGCGCAGAGCGGATCCGCGGACAAAAAAATTGGGGGTGGGGCTGGGGGTGGGAGCATCCTCTAACCATCCGAAGCAGCCCACAAAGCCCTGAAGCTCTGAAGCCCTGCTGGTGCCCCAGCCGCAAAGGTTGAGGGTTCAAAGAATCGAGATTGGCAGAGGACCACGCAGGGATGTTGTGTGTTCTCCAGATTTTACAAGGGCACATCGGGTTCTTCAAAAGTTAAGGACCCCCCCCCCCCATGCCCCTAGTGGGCTTGGGGTGGAGGGTCACATGCGGGCACCCCCTATTCTTAGTAGGGGCTGAGTTCTTAATAGGTGGGGCTGAGTTTGGGCACAGGAGTTGATTTACGCATGCCTTCCAAAATCCGAGCGAAAGCTGAAACGCTTCCTTCGATCCGGGTTGCCCGCTTGAAAAAAGCCCAGGCCCGAAACCACCGTCAGCGTTACAGCTTTCAGCCCTGTGCCGTTATCTTCATTTGCAACGGCTGGCGGCTGGCAGTTGGCCGGCGACGCATTTCAGTCTTCTACAGAACTTAGCGATACTTAGCGCCATTGAATGTTCCACAGACTCTCTGTGGAATGCAAGGGACGAGGGCTTGCACGTCATCGGGACAAAAGCGCTACCCCATGTTGGGACATAAACACAACCACACAACTCGAAGGGTGCATTGCTCATCAGCTGGTTGCTGGTTGCAAGGAAACGATTGATGTTGTGGGGCGGTTTGAGGGGGGGCGGGGGGTTGGTGGCAGGGGGAGGGCTCATGGTGCGTCTATTTCGCTCAAGCTGTGCAGTCTCAGGAAAATTTGCCTACTTAAGCTTCTTTATCTAGGCAGGCGCGCCATGGACCAACTCAGCAATGAGACACACGGTGCAGTCTCGGCGAGGCTGGAGGATCAACGACTTATGACCTTCGTGCCCGTTATGATCAGCATCTACTTGGTGACCTTGCTGATAGGGACGGCTCGAGTGCTGTACCTGTCAAAGCGATCCGAGCGAGAATCCAAACCAATGGGAATGAGTTCCAGTTCCATCATGCCTATCGAGCCTGAACCGGTCAAGCCGGTTAGGCCGACAGGTCTGACCAAGACACAGTCCACGATTTCCGTAGGCACGAGCCTCAACACGAGCCCGAAGCGGCACCGGTGCCACTTCAGCCGCAGGAGAGTTGTGCAGATCGTGTTCGGGTGCTGGTACGCCATTTGCCTGGGTTTTGTTGTCTACGCCTTGGTGGATGAGCAGTTTGCCAATCGAAAAGCGCTGGCTTGGGAGGCCTACACAGCATTGCTTGCCTTGTCCTGTGCCTGGCTGCTGGTGCAAGTTGCTTTTCTCCCAGTCAAGAAATATCCAAAGATGGGTTTCGTCGTGGCATCGCTTACCGGGACAATGCCAGCCATGGCAGATGGTTTCGATACCCTCAGGGACATCGTCTTTGGAGGCCTCTGCCTCCATTCGGACAACGGCTGGACGCAAGCAATAGGGGTGGTTGCCTGGGTCTACGTGCTTGCGTTCCACGTGCATTTGTTCCGACAAGATAGGATGATAGCAGAACTGGCAACTCACTGGCTAGCTGTGTGGACTATGCCTCTTGACGTCTCGCTTTCTGAAGCATCACAAAATAAAAAACAAGACTTCTGGATGAAGGCCAAGGCCAAGATTGTGCCTGTGCTCTACAAGCAGCTCACCCCTGTGAAAAGGCAGCTCCTGCTTGTAGAAAACCTTCCGCAGGCCTTCATGGGTGCTGCCTACCTCTTGCTGGAAGCTGATGATGAAAGTGGCAGCCCAATCACGGTACTGGTCTTCAGTATTGCCGTGCCGATGACGCAAATCCTCACCTCACACCTCCTCTTTCATCGGGTGCGCCGGCTTGCCGCGCCCTTCTATGCCAAGAAGCTCAGCATGGCTATACATCGCAAGGACACCTTATTGCTGAACCGCCTCCGTGAGGAGGTGGGCTAGGGGATGGATTCAGCAAGGGAAAGGCGGCTTTGGTTTTTGGGTACAACGCACCATCTTGCTGACCTCCCGCTTGTCCTGCTGAGGCCGGCTTCCTGGAGGATCCCGCTCTCTTGATCACTGTGATGGAACATTGCAAAGAGTTCCAAGTCTTCCAGGAGACATTCTGGGAGAGTAGATTCTTTCAAAGAGTTTTGAGAGCGCGTGTGCTTGGTGTGTTTGGAGAGGACATGTTCGAGGGAGGACTCCAGCTGGCCCTGCTCGAAGGCCGGGCCAGCTGAACAACGTCTCACGAGCCGAAGAATTGCGGGGCCCTTTGACTTTTAATGAAGGTTTCGCCTAACGACCCGCTTAGTAGCTCAGTGGGGAGACAGAAGGAGACAGTGAGAGTGAGAGCGGGAGTAGGGCAGAGTTTGTTCGTGCTCAAGTTGAGGATTTAGTAGCAGCAGGCACAACATCCGCACTCGTTGAAACTTACACTGTCGTGGTAGCCGTACGCAGGAGATCAGTCACAGAGGAGACTGGCGTTCATCGACAGCTGCATCAATACGATGATGGACCATGTCTTGCAGAAGGATTCGAACTAGGGATTCTCCAGAATGTATTATCACTCTCCTGTTTCAAATTATATATTCCGGATCTGCAGTTGCTTGCGACAGGGGTTGCAAGCGTGTTGCGCATAATGCCCATAGTTTCACTCCTTCACCGAGAGAGAGAGAGAGAGATAAACAACAAAAATCACAAAAACCAGGACAAGACGGGAACCCCAAAACCAAACCCACCACAATCAGAGCATGCCGAAGGCGAGTTGCGGAGTGCGTTGCTGAGTCATGCAACCGATTTTGGGGCATTCGCGTTGCAACCTCCATCCCCGCAAAGACGGTCGTTGTATTCTCCTAGAAGACGACCGATCTTCGGTCCTCCTCTTCTGTCAGAGACATCTTCAAATGGGATGAAAAAACGCTTGCCACCTCCGTCCGGCACTACGATTGTGGCCCCAACGCTTAAAACGGGAACCCTTTGTTCGACATACGCATGTCCAACATGATGAACATGAACTCAGGAATGCGTTGTCCAGACACACCCTGCACGGCTACCTCGCACCCCAGCGTCCTGCCTCGCACTCCACAGTATCCCTCTGTCCCGTACCGTCCCGTGGCACCCAAGCTCAAAGCTCGCACCACGCAGGGTCCCCCTTTTTTCCGTCCCGCAGCATAGCTCACACCGAGTCGTCCGCCCTGTACTGTACCTTTCCGTGCCGCCAGAGCACTCGCGCCCCGCAAAGTCACAGGATTGATGCGATTCGCTCGCAGGGGCTTGCGTTTCCTATAAAGATATGCAATCGATTCGAACGATTCGATTCGTGTTGCAGTTCCTACAAGTTTGAAGTCTAAATCGAGAGAAGCCTTTATCTGCCTCCATGAAATTGCCTCCAATGTAAACCTCACATTTATAAATGGGGTGGTAATACTAATATTCGCCGGGCCAGAGGGCCCCAGCCCAAGACTACTTTCCATTACAGGCGGTTTTCGTGCAGACGTGTGTAAACAAGTCTACATAGGGGGGTCCGGTGAGAATAATAATGTGGTGACAACAGTAAAATTTGGCCGGCCAGGAATCGAAAATTTTACTGAAAATGGCTTAAGAGTTCCATTGCAGAGAAGACTTTTCAGCTGAGCTGGCTAAAGAGCTCTGAGGCTCAGTCTTCAGAGAAGCAGATCTCGTTTGAGATTGCTTGTCTTTTTAAGCAGAACCCTTCAAGACAAAGCAGAGCAGACACTGACAGCTGACCCCCCCGAGACCACCAGACCCAGACCCCCAGATTCCAATTATTGACACCCCCTCTTTTTTTGACCCCTCCAAACCCCGGGGGCCAAAACAAGATTGGGGGGGGGTTTATTAAAGCGACGTTCACATTATAGAAAACAGCAAACAAAACTCCAACTGGCAGCAAAAGAAGTTCGGGCCAGGCCGCCTGGGGCGAATCCAAAAGCCCGAAGCCTCTGGCCCCGGGGGTCCGGCCAGCCGCAACCCACGCAACGATGAATGCTTCCGGGGTTCGAGTCCGGTGGAGGGAGCTATTTCCAGGCAATTTCTGGTCTAAGGGCCCCCTTTTGCGCACAGAAGCAGTGGCCTAATAGCACCACCATAATCTTCATTCACCCCGGCAGCACCAGATGTGGCAGGGTTGGTGTGGCTTGAGATGCATAAACAAATCATTTTGGGCTTGGTCCGCCAAGTCACCCCATGGCCAAAGTAAGCTTATCACTCAAAGCTTCATAGCAGTCGGGCGCAGACTCAGGCTTGGCAGGATCAAGCAAATAGCGGTTAGCGATATTGATTCCCACCCCTGCCCCTTTCGCCTTTAGTTTCGGAGCCTTTCGGCTCAACTGGTCTGCAGAGTGAGAGTCGCCATTTAAAACCCCTCATCCCCAAAAACACTCAGTCAGAATGCCTGCGAAAATTCTTAAAAAAACTTTCGACCTCATCCAAAGCCTTCTTAGGCTCAGCCCATTCCGGGATGTCTTCGAAAGCTTGACACAATCCATCACTTCCACCCGGACATTCTGCAGCTCAGGGTTGTTGGTCTCCAGGCACTTGAAGAGGGTCTAAAACATGTCGATCAGCACCCCGAAATATATTCTGCATATCAAAACAAGCATGTACCTCCTGAAATGAACTTGCAGGGGATCATGCATCCAAAAAAGGCTGCAAAAACCTTGTGCATCAACGACAGATATAGATTGCTTTACGGAAGGTATATTAAGTCTACCTTAGTTTAGGGCTTCCCCGAAACATGCATCCCTTAATTAAGACATGTAGTAATTCGACCCTATTGTAGCATCAGGGAAGTGCAGGGCCCCCTCATCCCGCACCACCGTCCTGTCGCATTCCACCGTCCGCAAAGCTGGCGCCCCGCAGGGTCCCCAGTCCTGTACCGTCCCGTGGCACGCGCGCGCGTATAGTCAGGGCACGTCGAGGAGGATTGAACTGGGGCCTGGGGCCCTCTCGATCTGGCTACAGAAGTAGCTGCTCCCCCGCCAGATGCGCGGCGTCGCGGTGCAGGCTGGGGAGTCGTCAGGGTTGGCCTGGCATATTTTGTATTGACATGCAACGAGGAGGAGGCGCCTCCATTGTGTGCACCCAAAAATCTTTTGTCAATTGGCTAGTCAGTGAGCGATCGCAACCACCCCTTTGCACACTGTTGGCCCTGGATTGGCCTGGCGTTCCTGGCAGTTGCACGGGGGAGTGGTGGCTTGTTTCTGCTGGTCGTGGCTGCATGATTACCGCACCCGGCCCAGGTTTGCCGGGCCGAAGACGCAAAGGCACTAGCCCCCCGCCCCTTTTTCGCCACTACCCCAGCACCAAGTATAATCTCTAATCCGAAATCTCCACACGAAAAACAACACCCACACCATACCATGTATGCCCTGTGCCGTAAGCAGTAAGCCAGAAGCCCTCTCAACCCTTTTACTACTATTTGAATAAGAACCCCCAATTTTTCTTGTAAGGGCAATGTCGGGATTGTCACATTGTATGTTGGGCGTTCTTGAGCAAATAGTAGTTAGACGGTCTAACTTGAATGAAACATGCAAGAACTGCAAACCGCTGTAAACCTTTCAACTTGCCCAATGATCCCTCACCATTGGTCATCTCCAAAAAGACCTTATAAGATGATAGAAGATTATGGGGTGGAGATGGCAAATCTGGGTTGTAGTCTAACAAGATTTAATGGCTATGTCTTAAAGGAGTTAACAGATCTAACATCACTGTACCGGCCTAGACCAAGCCCAGTGATTTAAAGGGCTTGTAGCACAGGCCTCACAAACTGTAGCCCATGTAGCCGGCCTTTCGAGGCGAACTGTTGAAGAGCCAGTCTGCTCACCGGGAAGCTGCCAACTCGCCCTCCCGGATTACCCTATGCGAAAATGCAAGACGGAGGCCGCAATACGCGGACCGACACACTTCGCACTTGACAGGGGACCCTCCCACACACAAAAAGGTCGGCGGATGAGAAAGTAGTGGGAAGTTTCATCTTGGGTTCAGGGTCTGGGGTTAGAAGGGTTTTTTTCATTCTAGAGTAGAGGATGCTAGAGTAGAGGACCTAACTGCAGGACACTCTCAATGACATCGTTGAGTTGAAGGCCAGTGCCTGCACAAAAGGTTGTTGCAGGGTTTTTTGGACTAAGTTTTACGAAGAAGCATCATGACGGTTTCTTTTCTGAAGTGCAAGCTGCCTTTTCGGAAGGGCAGTTCTGCTGCAAGCAATTGTGCTAGGGAATGTCTACGAAGAGCCTACAAGCCCGAAGGTTAGGCAAAACGCTTCATGATCATCGTGCCTTGACCCGCCCAGATCTTGAAGCACCAAGTGCTCGATCGTTGAAAAGTCTACCCCTCTGCACACGCACACACAACTGTGAAGAACAACTTGAAGTCTCCAGGCCGTGGCGCACTTCCTTTCAGAGACGTGCTGGACTGAGACCGTCCCTCTGACCTGTGGGTGGGTTTTGCACCGGATAGACTGCTGCTTGGAATAGGAGCTACCATGCTGGATGGCGTCAGAACTAGGAGGAGCATCTGCTGCAAACCAAATATCTTCAAAAAAGGAAAATAAGGCCAGATCACAACGATGTAAGTCTGTACTTACGAGGATGTTTTGCTTTTGCACTTGGGCGCCCAGGACGCTAGTTTGGCTCTCGAGGGATTTCAGGTTTCATGACTCATGAGGAACATGTTCAGACGTTAAGCTGCGACCAGACGACAGTTCAGGGCAAGCCCTTGCAAGGGCCGAAAGAAGCCTCTTCACTGGAGGATTGGAAGTTTCACTGCTAGCACGCTATGCTTTGGTCCTGTGAATGCACTGTCAAAACATGTTGCGACACGTTGCAGGCGGACTTGTCACACAGCAACTTGTCGGCGAAAGAGGGGGAGGCACAAGCCGGTGACAGTTATTTGTGTCATGGTCGGGGCAAAGTGGCGTACCAGGACATCATCAAAGCCGTGAGCAAGAACATGGTCACGGGCCTGATCCTGAACAAGTGTGCTCTGGACATGCGCGTCATCGAGGCTCTGCATGTTGGCTTGTTCCGGGGCTTCATGTACTTCCCGTGTGGAACACCAGCGCAGCTCAGGCTTGGGGTTAGTTGAAGGTCCTATGCGTTGTCACGCACATCCGCTATCACGCACATCTGAGCCCGACATCCGATTCGTCGTCACTCACAGGTTTTGCAAAAGCTCATGATGCTCAAGACTGAAAGGTAAGGTAGGGCACGCAATGAAGTTGGAGGCGCTCTTGGCGACCCTTTGTCTCCAACTCGCACACGTTGGCATTCGGAAAAAGCCCTATAGCACTAAGGTGGTGTTCGGTTGCCACTGTATCTATCCAACAGTGGGACAAGGAGCTCTTGGGTATGCGCCTTGGCAACTGCGCAAGGGCAGGGCAGGGTAGGTAGGGCCGGGTTGGGGTGGGCAGGGCAGCATAGGGCAGATGTCATCCAACACAGAAGGAGGCGCCGCCAGCCCTGCCCTGAAGAAGCATCATGGCCGGTACTACCTGGACCTCTTTGCTGGGGCGGGGGATCGCTTGAGGACTCCCGATGCTATGAGGACGCCATGCGAATTCATGGGCCAGAGTTTGACTTGACGCAGTGCCACAACACTTCTCATCAAGGCAGTGCCCGACATGAAGTTTTGGGGCGCACATGCCCGAACCTCCGCTGTTCGAGACTTTTCCGTCGGGGTGACCCCTCAGGTTCTTGAGTGCCGAAGACCAGCACTTGGCCACCATCTCAGCCCTGCATTCGTAGAGACTTCCCCGGTCTCCATGAACTTGCAATACCAGTTTAAAAACGCGCTTACTCTCCTGTTGGCAATCTCGATTCGGAGGACCCCACGCGCACCTTACAGGTTTAGGCCCAGACGGTCGGCCCTTCACCCGCGTTGCCCAAACATCTCCGGCGTCTTCGCCATGACCTCAGCTCCATATCGGCTGCTCCGTTTCTCACAGCCGGGTTCCCGACAGGGTGGTGACCTACCCCTTCGGGTACTTCGGACTTTGGCGGTGGCCTTCTTGCTGGGCTTCAAATCCTCGCTGAAGGCTACCTTCTATGACTCCACTGTGGGCGTCTTCTTTTCAAGCCTCGGCAAGCCTCACAAGACCTTTTTTCACCTTGGTTCACTTCCTCTCCCGACAGCTAATATGGCGGTAGTTTTCCGCAAGCCCACTGTGACGGAGACTCAAGAGCAGGAAGCCGCAGAAAGGACAAGAGGCAGCATGAGGGAAGTACGTTTCTATCAGATCATCCTTGTCCTTTAGCACATCAGACGGCTGAAGAGCAGTATGAAACAGTATGTAGCAGTTTGGCTTGTGCTTTTGCTCTTGGAACGCCTCTAGCGGGAGTCGCCAGGTTCTCGCATCGCAGCTTGGGCACATGACCCTGGTGAGCCTGGCCTTGCAGCAGAACAGCATGGGCGATGTCGGATTCCAGGCTTCCCCCATCTTTTCACACATCATCTTCCACCTCCTACGCTCCTCCTACGGTCCTACATCTTTTGAATTGACTGGTTTACTCTTACCGTGCTGCTCTTCCTCGCCTCCTTCTCTGCGGAAGGTGCTGGCAAGCGCCTTGGCTGACGCCTTTTGCCTGGAGATCCTGGATGTGGGAGACAATGCCATTGGAGAAGCCAGTTGTGAGGCTGGGGATTTATTGAATCCAAGCTTCTTTCGAGCTTTCTTTGGTGGAGTTGAGCGAGAGGTGAGATTTAAACAGCAGGGCCGTAAGATGAAATAAACGTAGAGCAGGAAGAGTCCTTCAGAGCGTCAAAGATGTTGGTATCACAAGGCCCATTCTGATAAGTCGTACCATGTCATAGCAGCAACACAGTGCAATGGCCGAGGCTTTTGCAACGATCTTGAGGATCCCCACGCTTAAGGAGCTGCGTGCAGACCACAATCAGCTGGGTGATGCGGGAGCCAAGGACTGAAGACTCTGAGGTTGCTGTTCAGATGCCGTTTTTTTGGGGCCTGCTTCTTGGCCTTCATGTGAGCTGCTCTGCAGGTGGCCGCGGCATGTCTGAACGATGAGATTGCAGCACTTGAACTCCTTAGCTTGGCTGACAATCACATTGGCAGAGACGGGCTCGAGGCCAGATCGCTTGTCACAAGGTATCGCAGCAAGTCGGTGCAGCGACGTTCCAGGCCGTGGCAGAGATCCAAGGGTGCCAAAACCGTATTGGGCTCCGCATTGGCATGAACGGCGACAGCGGCTATGTTGGCCGCTCTTTCGCGGAGGCACGGTGATGTTTGATTCATGGATAGGGACAGCAGCTGAGTTGCTTCAGGTCCTCGCCCAAAACGCGTCTATCAAGCTGTTGGACCCAGTCGTCGAGCACATGATGACCGACGTTATGCAAGCTATGCAGGTGTCGAGTGACGTCGTGCATTGGATGCGCGTGCCGCCGTGAAACTGCGCTGTAGGCCGGCAATGTCCATGAGGTCTACTTCGACAGCAACAGTTCTACGAAGGCCGAAAACAGGAGTTGTTGTAGCTGCCGTAGCTGCGTTGAGGCACAGCGCTTTAGTCAGCATGTGCCCCAGTGTCTTGTGTTTTGGTGTTGGCTGACTGTTGGCAATACGTCATCTCAGAGTTGCACCTCCACTAGTCTACACACGAAAGGCCCGCCTGCCAGCTTCGCGCACGAAAGTCTACAAGGCTCGTGCTGAATGCTTGCGGTAGCAGTAGTGGAAAGCCTGCTGGTGCAAAATGCAATGCGCCCCAGGGCTTGGCTACGGCCTTCCAGGGAATGTCCTCTCTTGAGATCGTGGAACTCATCGACCACGTCACCATCGGGCACTTCGCGGAGGCCGACAAACTCGGAAACCAGCGCATGCAGGCCGGCTGAAAAACATGCTCATCCAGAGGTTCAGACACCAACCTTGATACAACGTTCCACCGCCGCGTCTCATCCTGCGGCTCTATAAATAAGAAATGCTTTTCTCTTCGACACTTACACTAAGGCAGTGCACTATTTTACACTGGTGGGACTGTGAGGCCTTCGCACCGGCCCTCGCAAGCCACGTGGCCCTGCGGCGCCTGAACCTGCACGGCAACCATATTGGGGACGCGGGCGCAAAGGCGGACGGACTCTTCCGGGCAGTGATTCATAATAGCAAACAGACGCAAATAGCAGCAGTAGGACTCAGTAGGAGCACCAGCACTTGTATTTCTTTTCGATGTAGCAGTAGTAGAAGAAGTTACTGTAGCTGTTGAAAAAGTAGCACTTGTGCTAGGACAAAACACAGTAGCTGTCACAGCCATTGCAATAGTCAAGGCGAGGGGAATTACGATGTACTGGAATCTGGGAGTACAATCGCCGTCAGTGTCGTGGCAAGTCGTGGCCAAGCACGGCGCTTGTTAGTTCCGCTCGTTGTTTTGTGCGTTGCCGGTCTTTTTCCCCAGAGAAGCCATGTCCGAGCATTACGACGTCCATGTCTGAAAGAAAACCATCTCATTCCGGAGGCAGAATATGTCGGAGTTTGGTAGCTGGCGAGCGAGTTGTGACATGTTTTGGCTTTGCGTTGACAGAAGGAACGCATCAACCTCATTAAACAGATACCATGGCTCAGACAGCCGTGCACTGTGTGTACACTGTGTCAAAGAGCTCGCACGGGAGCAACCCTGCCAGGCCCTTGCGAGAGCCCTTGTGGACAAGGTCAAGCTCGAGCTTCTTGACCTGTGTGCCAACAGCATTGGGGCCAGAGGAATGCAGGCCGCGGAACCCAGTGCAGTGCAGCTTCTCACTCTTGCGAAGTATTTCCCCAAACAGGAACCGTTTGGGGTCCTCTCCTCAGAAAAAAAAAAGTGTCACGCGCTTGGCCAGATGGGTGTCACGCGCTTCGGGCCTGTGGTCTCCCATGGTCTCCGATCATGAACACAATTGGGCCATTGGGGCCGGGCGGGTGTCATGCGCTCGCGCCTGCGGTCTCCCATGGTCTCCGATCATGAGCACAATTGGGGCCAATTGGGGCTGGGTGAGTGTCACGCGCTTCGGGGCCTGTGGTCTCCCATGGTCTCCGATCATGAGCCAGGCGGGTGTCATGCGCTCGGGCCTGTGGTGTCACGTGTTTCGGGCCTGCGGTCTCCCACGGTCTCCGATCATGAGCACAATTGCGGCCAACATGAGCCGGGTGGGTGTCACGCGCTCGGGCCTTTGGTCCTCACGCGCTTCGGGCCTGTGGTTTTTCCCCAAAAGGAACTGTTTGGGGCGCTCTCCTCAGAAAAAAGTGCCACGCGATTAGCTAGACGGGTGGCACGCGCTTGGGTCCGTGGACGCATGGAGCGCAATGGGGCCGGGTGGGTGTCACGCGGTCCATGGTTTTCATGGTTTTGGAAGTGACAGGGGTTTGGGAGGGTGTCACGCGCTTGGGTCCGTGGTCTCCCATGGTCTCCGCTCATGAGCGCAATGGTCCGGGTCGTGATCTCCACGGTCTCCTCTCCGATCATGAGCGACAGGGGTTGAGAGGGTGTCGCGCGCTTGGGTTCGTGGTCTCCCATGGTCTCCGACCATGAGCGCAATGGGGCCGGGCGGGTGTCTCGCGGTTCGGGCCCGTGGTGAGCGACCTCGCCCGCGCTAATGCGTTCAGCTGTTTTCGCCTTCTAAAAAGTGCACAAAGAGAGCACGGCGTTGCAAATGTGGAAAGCAAGACCAAATGCGTTTTTTAGGCCTGGCAAAATGCATTCGGGCAGCGCTTGGACATCTGGTATTTTACGACCAACATTTCCCCGACATGCGTCTGAGGGCATTCCACATGCATTTTTCGTCGCCCGAAAACGCATTTGGCACTGGTTTCCTATCATGTTGCAATCTTGGGTTCTGCCGGCTGAAATTTCATGTCTTTCTGCGCATAAGAACATCATAGAACATCTATATATAGGATTTGAACGCGTTTGGAACCATAATCACCGTTTCGCAAAATTCCCGAAGAGGGGCCTATAAAATCAGAAGCAACATGCCCAGATGCATTTTGCAAAGCAGGCAAAATGCATTCGCGCAGCTTGTTCCTTCCAAAACCACAATAAAAAACTCGCTTGATAGCTGACTTTTGTGTCAACGACAGAGGCCCCGTACGGAAGAAACCAAAGTCCGAAGGCATTTTTTGCCTGTGCCCAAATGCATTCAGCTGTTTTCGCTTTGAAAAAGTGCAGAAAGAGCACGCGGCGTTGCACATGTGGAAAGCAAGACCAAATGCGTTGTTCAGGCCTGGCAAAATGCATTCGGGCAACATCTGGTCATCCATGTCTATTCGGTTTGCTCCATTACAGCATGAAAAACAAACGACAACAATAAGAAATAATATGTTCGTGCGTGCACAGGAATACTGAGCCGAGCGCATCATGAAATGCGACGTGGCTAACGATGCTCAAGTCTGAAAGGATAGTAAGGCCATGCGATGGGAAGCGCTATTGGTCGCTTGGGCTGCGCACTGGCTTGATTTGGGGCGAAAGGCTCCCACGCTCACTTGCTTCCCACCTCCTGAACCTTGCGTGTGTGAGTGCCGAGTGGAGGTGATTCATAGTGAGAACAGGACCCACGAAGGCACGACCCAAGGACATTGGAACCAGTCGTGGTTGTGGCAGGGCGCAGGGGCATCTTTGATCACTGTGGGCTCCGCCCTGGGCATCAGATCCTGGATAGTGTCGAGGTCACGAGCGAAGATAGAGGCCGGGCCCGCAAGCTCTCCACGACGCAGAGGCGGCGGAATCATTGAGTATGTCGGCTGACTATGATGCTGGTGCCAAAGTGATTGTCTGGTACACGGACGACGACGTGTGGCATGAGCGGATTGTCCTGGCTCCAGGTCTGGTAGCTGGAACCTGGTGGGTGTTGACCCCTGATGGGGACGTCTACGAAGAATCCCTCTTGGGCAAGGCCAAGGATGGTCCAGACAAAGTTCGCCACGTCCCCTTTGGAGTGCGCACCCTGGCTAATCTGAGGCGAGGCGTATATCGCTTCAAGAAGCCCTTGGACGATGCAGAGCTGAAGGGTCACGTGAGGCAGGCCCATGAGGCCCATCGCAGTGCCCATGGAAGGCTCCCTGGTGACGGGACTGGACAGGTGCTTCTGGCCGATGGAAGCCTGGTGGGATTGGAGGGTTGGCTTCAGCCTCGGTTTCGGGTCACAGCGAAAGGACCTAGACGGGCTGCAGTACAACATGGACCAATTCCGGCGGGCTCCAGATGGAGAGTGGCTGATCCCAGAGGTTCTTTCACTTTGGGAATGGAAGTGCGGGCTCTACAAGGCGACGATCTCCGCCTGTCCGACACAGATGGGGTGATCGTCCGTGAGGGCCGCTGGCTTCGAGTCGAAGTAGTCGAGGATGATGCCTTCGACGAATGGCTGTCCAGGCGACAGCTCGAGCTGGGAGTCTCCGAGGCAGTGTCAATCGACAAGGCCTTGGGCGTTGGGAGTCTTGACGAGCCGGAGACGCAGATCACGGAGGAGAAGGTCAAGCCGTCCGAGGTCGATGACGCCCGTACCTTGTGGGTCGAGTACGACTCCCAAGGTGAACGATACAGGGACTGGAGACGAGTGGTTCAGGATTCGAGCTCATCCATCTTCAGCGATTGGCCGCACCAGGGTCCCCAAAGCACACTCCACATGTTAAAGCATTGCTTGAAGCACGGCGGTGAGCCCCGTTCATGGATGCAGCTGTGGATGAAGAAGCACAACGTGGCGGAGCACGACCGAACTGCCCACGAGCTCCGAGCCCTCATCGAGATCATTTATTTGGGGGGAAGTTACGATCAACTTAACCTTCCAAGCCTTGCGAGCTTTGAAGCTGCTTCCAGACGTGTTCAAACCATCGTAGAGGCATTTGCCTCGGGGAGCGCGGCAGGGCCCGAGTGGGGCCACGCCCGACTCTTCACCGGGAGCTTTTCTCCCGACGATCTGGTTTCGCCCGAGCTGCGCGCTTGGGCGGCCAAGCGAGGCAAAGAAGGAACTGCAGACTGCAAGACAGAAAATGAAGGACGCTCGTCGGGGCCCACAGCCGCCCGATGGTGACGAGCTCACAGGCAAGGAAGCATTCCCTGGTGGCGGGGGTCGTGGACGGGGCCGGGGCCGCGCCAGCCGCGGGCTGGAGGCCCCGCACAGCCCATGATGGATGGTTCGGCGGCCGCCTGCCCAGGGGGGAGGTCGCCTTCTTCTAGCAGCCCTGGGAATCGGCTCTTCCCTCTTCCTCGCCCTGAGTGGGAAGAAGGCCGGTGAGCCGCCGCTGCGCACAGAGGCAGGGACGGCGAAAGCTTGAATTCGAATACTTTCGGCAAGGGGTTGATCTCCTCAACTGGATGTCGGGGACTTCGTCCTCATCGACCCCTACCTTTCCACCTTCAAGGCTGCAAAGCGAAGTCTTGGAGAGAGTGCAGGCGCTGGCGCGATCATCAGTTCGCTCCGAGGCCAGTTTTTTGCCTGCGCTTTCCGGTGAGGCAGCCATTAGAGAGCTGCTCAAGGGAAGCTCTGAGTATCAGGGACTCCCGTCAACTTTGGCGAGTTTCATGGGCGAGCGCGTCTCTCTACCTGAAGATTTACATGATTCACCTCAGATCCTCGATCTTCTACCTCAAGACGCCCGTCGCCACCTAGAAGCTCCTGAGCGCATGCTTCGTGAGACTCCTGAGGACTGCACCATTGTTCCATACTGGGATCCGGTTCTGAGGGGAAGTCTAAAAGAGTATCGTAAATTCATTCAGAAGCTGTACCGCATCGGTTTCCTCGACCTGACCTTGGTTCCTGCTGAGAGGGCTGGGGCCTTTTTCGTCAAGAAGTCGGACGGTGTCAAGCAGAGATTGATCATCGATGGAAGGCGAGCTAACGCTAGACTTGTTGATCCCCCTGCTGTCCGACTTTGTACTCCTGAGGCCTTTGCCCGCATCGAGATTGAGATTGACCCGGGCTCGGGCATGGACTTCGAGGCGCTCATCAACGGGGTCGGGCTGCATGTAGGACTGTCAGATGTAAAAGATTGCTTCCACAGGATGATCCAACCGAGATGGTTGGGAAAGTTTTTCTGCTTGGACCCTATACCGCTGAAAGTGGGTGATGAGGGATGGGGGAGAGGTTGACGGGCAATGGGTGCATCCTGAGCAGCTCGTTTTCCCCTTCCCTCGCCCGCTCTGCATGGGGTGCAGTTGGTCGCTGTATTTTGCCCAGTCCGCTAACGAGAATCTTATTGCAACAATACCCAGGTTGGCCCACTCAAGGCTGGTGAACGATCGAAGCGACCCCGTCGTTATCCAGGCGAACCTGGAGGAGAACCAGGCCGGGGTTTCAGGAGATTACCACTATGTGTACGTGGACAACTTGGGGTTGATGTCGACTGACCGCAGGTATGTCTCGGAGTCCCTCAAAGAGGTCGAGAACACCTTCAATGCGCGCGGCCTGCTCTTGCACCCTGGCGAGGTCATGTTTGGCCAGGCCGAAGCCCTGGGGTGTCGATTGGACATGCAAGCTCGCAGCACACAGGTGAAGCCAGATAGAGCGTTGCGTATCCGGAAGGCACTCGATGGGCTCTTGACGCGGGGGCGATCCACGGGACGGCTGTTGGAGGTTGTCATAGGCCACCTGACGTATGCTTTCCTGGTGAATCGTCCGCTGCTTTCAATTTTCCATCATTGCTACCGGTTCGTCAGGCGCCACTATCTGGAGAAGGCAAAGCTATGGCCCAGCGTCATCGAGGAGCTGAAGGCAGCGCGCGGGGCCTTAATCTTCTGCCGTAGTGACTGGTGGAGACAATGGAACGACTTGATCTCTGCCAGCGATGCCAGTCTAGAGGGATATGGCGTCTGTACCTGCAAGGCACCCAAAGCTGCGGTGTCCGCTGTGGGCCGGCTCTCTGAGAGGGAGAGGTTCAAGCGACGCGCGGGCCACTCAGCTCGGGAGTCTGCGCTGGAGGCCTTGCATGCTGACCTGGAAAGTCACTCAGAGGTCGACGATGAGCTCCTGGCATCAGCTGGATGGGCCGCCTCACGGGAATTCGCCGAAGTTCCGGCGAGCCTCCTCAGGAAGGACCTGTGGGACGTCAAGAGGGCTGGGCGCTGGAGGTTTCAAGAAGGCGAAGGGATCTATGAGCTTGAGTCGCGCGCCCTCCTCATGTCTCTGGAGCGGGTTGTCTGCAGCAGGCACGGTCGTGATATGAGACAACTATTGTTAGTGGACAATATGGCTGTCAGTCTTGCTTTCGAACGTTGTCGTAGTCGTCACTTCGGGGTTCTGAAGGTGATCAGGAAGTTCGGGGCGTACTGCTTAGGGCGCAACGTCTCGACCTCCGTGCGATGGGTCCCCTCTGAAGCCAATGCTGCCGATGGGCCATCTCGTGCTGCCCCAAGGTTCGAGAAAGAGGCAGCTGAGTCCGAGGCCAACAGTAAAGTCAGCGGCAAAGAAGAGAGGCCGACAGCTGGAAAAGCCTGCGCTGCAGCCTGCGCCCCCCTCGAAGAGGGCCCTGAAGGCAGAATCGCTAGGGGACACTCTGGTGACGCCTCCATCAAGAAGAACGGAGCTCCCTCAGACGGAAAAACAGCTACAACAGGTCCAGGGCATCAAGCAAACAAACGAGAGTACGTCCTCATCCACGACAGAGTCCGAGGACCGTGCAGAAGTCAAACCAAGGCAGCGAGTGGTGGCAAAGCGTGTGCGCCGCCGGCTCCGAAAGTACTTAGAGGCACGGGAAGCGGCAGCTCAGAGAGGGAGCACCTTCCTCGAGGAGCAGGCCGTCACTCAGAAGGTCCAGGCCTACTACCGAAAAGAGGTGGTGGGTTTCAAGGCCTTCGTGAAGCGGCTCCGACTAAGCCTCGCAACCAGCAGCGATGTGGATGCGGCCATGGTGACGTACCTCAACGACATGTTCTGGGCGGGGGAGCAACCGCACAGAGGAGACAAGTTGTTGGCGGGTTTCCTGCATGCCAACCCAGAGTATGGCAAGCGTGGCAGCCTGAAGCTGCCCAGGTCCTGGAGAGGTCTCAAGGGATGGCATCGTCTGTGTCCAGGCCGCAGTCGAAAACCGTACCCGCTGGCTGTGTGGGCCGCGGTGGCGGCAGAGCTGCGAAGGCGCGGGTTCACCCGCAGTGGCGCTCTCAAGCTATGCGAGGCCGTCCGAGCTGCTTCGGTGCACAGTGTACTCGCTAGTGAGCCCAGTGCGCCACACACTCGAGGAGTGGAGTCTGCTTCTTTCCCCGGAGCATCTGGGGGAACCTTCAAAGACAGGGGAGTTCGACACCTCACTGATCTTGGACTCACCGTACCTCCTTTCTTGGGGGCCAATCGTCTTCGCAGCGCTCAAGAAACAGCACGCGTCCACGCCACTTTGGGATTTCAACTACGGCGAGTTCGTCAAGGTGTTCAGCGACGTGACCGCCGCACTGGGTGTGAGTCTGTCCCCGTATCAGATGCGCCACTCCGGCCCGAGCATCGACCGAGCCAGAAACCTCCGCACCCAGCACGAGGTCCAGCGAAGGGGCACTTGGAAAAGTCGCAAGTCCGTCCTCAGGTACGAGAAGTCAGGACGTTTGGCGTCTGCCTTCCTCGAGCTTCCAGAAAAGCTGAGGACGCACTGCCAGCTGTGCGAAGAACGTCTCGGGGATATTATCCTCGGCAAATGGAACCCACCTGGTCCACCATGACGCCGAAGCATCGAGGGCGCCACCTCCTCGACTTGTTCAGCGGCAGAGGAGGCGTGGCTCGGGCGCTTCGACGCTTGGGATTTCGATCTTTTGAATGGGACACCCGGCAAGGCAAAGACTACGACCTGACGTCGCAGAAAGTTCTGCGCAATCTCCGAAGAGCAATCTTCCGTTCCGAAGTGCTCGGTGCCATGTTAGCTGTTCCTTGCCGTTCTTTCTCAAGTACTCGAGATCGTACAGCGGCAACACGAAATGAGGCACATCCATGGGGGATGCCTGGCGAGTTTTTGTCGGAACAAGATTGTCGAAAAGTGCAACAGGGTAATGAGACTATTCGGGCTGCGTTGCGCATCGTGGCATGGCTTGATCGTTTCTCTCTCCCTTGGTGCATCGCAGGTCCTTGGAGCAGTAAGCTGTGGCATCTCCCTGAATTGCAGGAGCTCCTCCAGCGTCCTCATGTTCATTACCAGGCCATCGACTTGTGTCAATATCACAGACCATGGCGCGCTCGCACATGTTTTGTCTTTGGCAATCTGGACTGTTCTGATCTTCGCAGGTTTGAAAGTAAACTCTGCTCAGGACGAGGCCTCTGCTCATGCACAGGCCTGCCACATCGCCGCTCCAAAGGATCGTCGGTGGCGGAGGTCTACCCGGCCAAGCTCTGCTCAGACCTCGGCATGGCCTTGGCCAGCCCCTACTTGCTTACAGATCCGTCATCTACGTGGTTCACATCCTGATTTGGGATGATTTGGGAGGTGGAGGCATTGACTTTCTCTTTCAATCCCTGTTCAGTATGATCGGCGATGCAGCTGATGCTTTGCACCGCATGTCTCACGAGATCGCAAAGACTTCTGCCGAAGACATGAGAGTACGACCGCTGCAAAATGATCAGCGATGCAGAAGTATGTTCGTGCGTGCACAGGAATACTGAGCCGAGCGCATCATGAAATGCGACGTGGCTAACGATGCTCAAGTCTCCCGCCCTCGCCGCCCGAGGCATTACTTTGGGAGGTGGAGGCATTGACTTTCTCTTTCAATCCCTGTTCAGTATGATCGGCGATGCAGCTGATGCTTTGCACCGCATGTCTCACGAGATCGCAAAGACTTCTGCCGAAGACATGAGAGTACGACCGCTGCAAAATGATCAGCGATGCAGAAGTATGTTCGTGCGTGCACAGGAATACTGAGCCGAGCGCATCATGAAATGCGACGTGGCTAACGATGCTCAAGTCTTGATCAGCGATGCAGAAGTAGATTGGTGTTTTACGACCAACATCTACCCGACATGCATTTCTAGGGCATTCCAAATGCATTTTTCGTCGCCCGAAGAATGCATTTGGCAACCCCCTCCCACCTCCCACTGAAAACCCCAAACCAAACCCTAAACCCCGTAATAAATAACCGTGTGTTCATGGTCTCATGACGTCGGCTTGCAAGTCTTTTTCGCCAATCTAGGATAGGTCGAGGGGCCGAAAAGGTTTTGGCTTGGGATGTTCTCCCGTAAACTAATAGTCCTTCATAGGGATCTGCAATAGGGGGGGCCTACTAAGGACTATAACCGGAGAAGATCTAAAAATAAAACAGGACTTATGGCTACACGTGATTGAGTGTACTTGCAACCTTGCGATTAGAACTACCCATGAACCTCCAAGTAGCCCGTCTAGCCCAGCGAAAGACAGACTTCTCACCACGTGCCAGCATTTTTCCACTGTCTGAGCACGCGTTCCTTCTTCTGGGAATACGTAAGAAGCCCGACGTCTTAAAACCGAAACCCCAACTCTTGATTGATAAAAAGAAGTTCGGAAGAAGACACGCTAGGGCTGCCTTTGCGGGCCAAGGATGCCAGATACTCCAACATCCCAAAGTTTGGTAAGTAGGGTTAAGGTTTAGGGTTCAGTTGGGGTTTAGGGCTCGTTGTCTCGGGAATCTGCCTTACTTGCAGGTGCAGGTAATATCCCTGAATTAAGGAAGATGCCTTGAATTGTAGGGAGTTAGGGAGTACAGGCTTTAATAGTGAACCTGCCTTCGCAGGGTTTTGGGGATTAGGGATCCCAGTATGATGTCAGGAATATTCCTGAATCTACTATCCCTATACTACGCTTTAAAGGAAGAGTATTTATATTTTTGGGGGAGTTCTTGAGCAAAATTGTAGTATTTAAGGAATGTTGGAGTACTCTGAATCAGAGACTGTCCTTCAAAGAATCCGGCAAAACCTAACAGGATCCCTGATAAGCAAGTTCCCTCACCCTTAGTAAGCGTCCTCCAGTAGGTCGCGAAACGGTCAGGCAGCCCCTTTCAATGTGGTGGCTTCTTGGTTGCAGGCCCGCTTGCAAACAAAGCATTAGGACCTATGATTGGCCCAGGATGCGGGTCGTCACGCTTCATCTTGAGCCTCAAGCGACGGCGAGTCAGGATCAGCGCCCAGTCCAAAGCCTGTCCGCCGTCCCGTCCGATTCTTCCGAGCTTCCCTCGGCCGCGTTGGGGAAAAACGGCCGGGAACTTGAGCAACCATCTTCGAGGCGATGGGGATGTGCTCTTGAAGATGTTTCGAAGCCATGCGTGGAGATGCTGATCGGCACTGGTTCAGGGCTCCTCGCTGCAAGTAGCACGCCGGAAGCTGCCTCTTTCAGAGCCCCATCGCGAAGGTCAAGTCCACAAAGATTCCACCGCACTCTTCAGATCCTGCGTAGTCGGCAGCACAGGCGTTTATATTTCGACGTCTGGGAGGTAAGGCTTAGAGGTTTCGGGGTCTTCGTGTAAAAGGTTTGCGTCCTGGCGATGCCAGCCAGCAGAGTGCCAACACCTCTGTGCAATTTCTCAACACGAACGAAACCAGAACCTTTTGACTTGTACCGTCCTCGAAGCTATTTGCTCATTTGGGGTTCCTATGCGAAATAGAGCCTCATATTGTGCCTAACAATTCCTCAAAACCTCAAGCCCTTGAAACCTTTAAGCTTTAAGCCCCAAAAAAGCTCTTAAACCTCAATCCAAAGAGGTCCTCCTTCTGATACTTGTTGCCGTCCAGACCTTGCCATGGCTCCTGGAGGCTTTAGGGATTTTGAAAGTAGGTTTCATCGAGGGGTTGTCTTGAGCTTCGGCTTGAACAGAAGGACGATTTGGGGGTTTATGGAAATAGAGGACTCCTAGCAGGAACCCTTAAAATGAGGATCCCAAAAAGGTATCCCCAATTTCGGAAACCCCATTTGGTTGTTCAAGGTTCAGGGTTTGGTGTTTGCATCGAACGAGCAAGCAAGTAGAGAGGCGTTTTGTGTAGTTTGCCCACCCCCCCCCCCCCGCACTGTTGGTTAGCTAAGAATCCTATTCGGGGCGTTCATCCGGCTGCTTTATCTTCATATCGTACTTCTCACGCAATTATAGCTGTTCTTGCAACTTACGACTCACCCAGAAGCCCCATCAGTACCGCAATATGGTTATAATTGGGTTGTGAGTGCAGTTGTAGTTGGGTTTATAAGTACGATGAACCTGCAGAATGCTTCCGAAGCCACTCATCTCCATGGTCGAAGTCCTCGAAACCCTGATCCCCGCAGGGCTTACTTGGAGGTTTATGGTACTTACCTCACCAAAAAATATTTGCACTTACAACCGAATTCTAGCCATATCAGGGTAACTAAGGGGTTCATAACTGGGTTAGAAGTGCAGTTCTCATTGGGTTATACGTACCCTGAACCTTCAAGTCGGGTTTAGGGTGAACCGAATGCCGCGACTTGCAGGATCATGCTTCGTCAGAAGCATGGTGTTCTCAGTGTCTGAGGGTTCTATAACTTCTTATGACCATAGCTAGCTTACTTATATGCCTCCCTAAGCCCTAAACCCTAAACCAGTTAAAACTACCCCATGAACTTCGTCCTTCCAGTGCATCCGCGGATCGACCTTGCCCACGGAGGTCAGCATGCCCAGCCTCTGTCAGGGAAGTTTGTGGAACGCAGTGGGGTTTAGGGTTTAGGGTTTAGGGTTTAGGGTTTAGGGTTTAGGGAAGTCCACGAAACCCTACTGAAATTGTGTCTGCGAGGGCTTGGGTTAGGGCCTATTCTACCCTCACCAGCCCAAGATAATCCCCAGACTGTCTGCTTGGGCCCCTCAACCCTGAACTTAATCCCGAATTTCGGTCAAGTCATTGAAAGCAGACAGAAACTTCAAGGGATTTCTCCTGCGTGGATCTTAACTGAACATCCATGGAGCGCAGGCTTTCAAGGATTTCTTTGCCGAAGGAACACCTGAAAATTCTAAACACATCCTAAGAGGTCACTGCAGCTATGACGATGATGGTGGTTGCTATTATTTGTGCTCGTTGTTAAGTGTTAAGGCTCCTTAAGAGAATGCAAGTTTAGGGTTAAGGACTTAAGAGTGCAGCGCGGACTTTAGTTGCAACAACGTGAGATATTCACACCCGAAACCCTAAACCCTAAACCCCAATTCAGGACAATCTTGGGTGCCAGACTCGCCTTGCACAAATCCGCAACCACCATGTGGCTTCTAGGGCTTGGTAGGCTGAACCTAAACCCTAAACCCTAAACCCTAAACCCTAAACCCTAAATCCTAAATCCTAAATCCTAAATCCTAAATCCTAATCCCAGGGTCACCTTGTTCCCTCCTTCCTTCCACTTGCGCACGGAACTGCGATGTCATGTCCGGATTCGGAGAGTTTTGCTAAGGTGAGCCAAGAAACTCAGAATGCTTTGAGGCCCTTAAGACCCAAACCCTCCCCTTCGTCCTTGAACCCCAAACCTCCACCCTTCAACCCCTAACCTTCAGAAGATAGAGCCAAACAACTGCATGAGCCTCATGCAAACTGGAACAGAAACTGCCCTGAACCAGAAACACCGTACGAATATCCTTCTTTGCTCAGAGGGGGAACCAGCAAAATTGGCAGTAAGGGCACCCTAAACCATAAACGCTAAACCCTAAACCCGAAACCTTCACTCGGGGTCCAACAGGGAGACTGGAGGAAGAGCCTCTTCGCAAGTTCTGGCGGCATTCGAGTGCCGGCCTGCCGGCAGCGCTATGTAAAATGTGATTTTTTGGTTCTCCGTCGCTCTCGCTCTCTCTCGCTCTCCTTCCTTTTTCAAGTATCCCAGAAGGAACCCTCACACACGCACACACTTAACATGAACTCTGCTTCATAGGATTGTTTTGCAGGGTGTGGCCGCTGCCGGGGATCACGGGCGAACTTTCGCAGGCTTATCCCGGACTTTGGTGGACAAGCGGTTTCCCGGACTCCTCAAAGGGGGTCTGGAAAGTACAGCGCCTCTAAGGGTTCCTATAAGTTCCCGATCGTATCCTATACTGAATTGGGTTTTGGGTTTTGGGTCTATACTGAACTGGGGGTTTCTCCTTTCTTTGGAAGGTTTCCGGATCCTTCCAGGGACCTGCCTTGGGTTTGGGGTTCTACGGCTCGGAGGGAGTGGGGCTCACCGGCTTGCGCACACGCATGTGCCGTTTGCTCCAGTGAGGGCCGTGGGCAACCATCATGTGAAGCACTTGGGGGTTTCCTAAATTCGGGGTATCTTATTGGGGTTTCTGTTTGATCCAAATTGTGGGTTTCCCATTTCGTAGACCCCCAATTGCCAACATGAGAACGGAACATAACATGTTGTCTGTTTAATAAGCTACAATGCACCATATCATAAGATCTGCCTATCGGACTGACGCGTCAGACTGTCGCCTTTTCGATGACGTTGGCAATGAGTTCCATCGCATCTTGTTCCCGGTCGGTGAGGATGGAAATCGCAACTCCTTTCCTGAGTGGGGGTTTAGGGTCTAGGGTTTAGGGCTAGGGTTTAGGAAGCAGGGTTTAGGGCTTAGCTGTCTTCATGCTTGCGCTAACGCCCTTCCTAACCCGTAGCTATGCTTACACGCGAGTGTGAAACCCGCCCCATGTATGACAACGACAGAAACCAAGACAGAATCACCCTTACACCGTAGACAGGCTAGCACGCGAAATGCTAAGCCGTACCCAGACCCCTTGAATCCCCTAAACCCTAAACCCTAAAACATAAACCCTAAACCCTAAACCCTAAACCCTAAACCCTAAACCCTAAACCCTAAACCGTGCTTGAATCTAGCAGGTCGAAGTCTTACTGTAGTACCCTCTCTTGGACGGCTTTGCTTCACGCGGCTACAGGGAAGCAATACTGGTTGGAGCTTCACTCACGACGCAACGGTCTGTTTCCAGTAGCAGACACTCATACCAGGGGCTGACCAGCAAGCATAACCGGAATCCAGCAAATTCACCTGGCACCCTAGACGCCACACCCAAAAGCAACCCAAGCAGACCCCCAAAACCTAAAACCCTCAACAGAAAGCTGTCCACTGCAGCAAGGGTCCCCTGCCGGCCAGTTCGGCCGATACCTGCGCCAAGACGCGCAGATGTCGCGTTTACTTGGTCGCACTTTGGCTGGCCAACTACTTGGAGGTCCATGGTACTTTATAACCCAACAAAAAAACAAGTATAGCCATATTCGGGTACTCAAGGGGCTTATAAGCAGCTTGTAAGTAGACTTACACTTGACCTCCAAGTAGGTTGGCCCGTTGAATCCTCTGAAGAATATTCCTAAGTAGGACTTAACCCAACAATGGAAATACAAAAATGGCGCAAGGGCCTACCCAGTCAGGGTTTACCTCTAAGCTCTGCAGCTGTCACGCGGTTCAGGAATCCGTTAAGCCACAAAAGGCTGTCCGTAGTGTTCGCGTCACATTTTTGGCAGGGGTGCCCGTTGTGAAGACGGCCGATCCGGATTGGAGAGGAGCTGCCATCAGCAGAATGTAGGGTTTAGGGCCTGGGCCCAAATTCTCTAAACTTATTTACGTGGGGGTTTCTCCGGAACCCCTCAAGAAGGGTGTGGAAACTCCCCACATGAAAGGGAACCGTTGACAACAGCAACCGGGTGGCCATTGTAAGATTCGGCTGGCCAGAGTTTCCCGATTTTGCTTGAGTTTGCCTTTCAGTTTAATGGCAGCTTGGGTCTACAGAGTGGGGCCTCCAGGCTTTAAGAGTAGGTCGCCTTTAGATTCAACCTTCCAGCTTCGAGTTCTACCCTAAATCCTAAACCCTAGACTGGAACAGCGGCTTCCTTAGGAACCCTGCTCGAAAGTGACAACGTAGGGCAACTATGGTTACAACCTCATTTATACTGCCTATGACTCCTATGAATCCACAACCCTCACGTTGATCACGTCCTCCCTCTTTGAGGATTCCTAAACGGATAGGGTTTGGGTATATAGGCTACCAGTCCGCTCAACCCTGAATCCTATAACCCTCCTTGACTACCGGATATCTGCAGGCAGCATGCGGTGGATGTAGTCCTCCGCGCTTCGGGGGCAGTCGTAGTTGACTACCTGGATAGGCTGAGGGCAGAGGAGTCTTGGTGGCTGGTTGCCTAAACTGGTCCGCATGGACAGCGTGCTATCTTACTGGGATCCTCAAAGAGACCTAACACTGACCTAGACAACTTCCTAGTGGGGAATGATGGAGGTGCCTTGCATCCCTCCCTACATATACCTTTAAAGGATGATACATGAACCAGTCGGTTTAGATCAGGGGGTTCTACCTTGGATCCCTACCTTGGATTTAAGGACTCTTTTTAATATCCTTTCAGGGAATATAGAGGCCATATTCGGAGCGTATTCAGGGAAATCAAGGGGTACAAGCTTAGGGGTACGAGTCCCTTGATGAAAGTGGACAGTGGGCTGTGACACCAAGATGCCAGGGTAACATTGCTCACGTCGATGCCGCGTCCAGCCACGTCCGTGGCGAGCAGGACCTTTGCAACGATCGGTGCTCGGAATGGCGCACTAAGACCCCCTAAACCCTTAACCCTAAACCCTAAACCCCGAACCCCCTGACCCTCGAAACCCCTAAATCCCTGGGAGTAGCACGCCCCAATAGTGGCCTCTACTCCTTCTAGGCCATTCTGAGGAACCCTTTATAGGATCTACTTTTTGGATCCTCCCAGGGATTGAAGTCGAACCTTGCTTTTTGAAGAACCCTTTTAGGGGACTTTCCGGTTTGGGGTTTAGGGTTTAGGGTTTCGTAGGGGGTTAGGGGGTTTAGGGGGTCTATGGGCTTTGGGTTTTTGTTTTTCCACATTACTAGGCACCCGGCAAGCGGGGAATTGGAACTGTGCTTCATGGGGGAAGCCAAAAAAGATTGCTGCTAGGCGTCCACACAAAACCTGAACCCAAAACCTAACCCCAAACCCAAAACTACCCTGGAACCTGAACCCAAAACCCAAAACCCTGAACCCGAAACTCTGTACCCAGAACCCTGAACCCCAAACCCTGAAGCCCAAAACCCAAAACCCTTGACTCCCCCCTGGGCCTGCACCTGGCCCTTCCGGAAATGGTCCAGCACAGCCTCCGGCCAATTGGTCGGAAGAGTGGCGCGCTCCCAAAGCCCCCCAAAAACCTAGAACACCCAGCAAAACCCCAGAGTCAAGAAGCCCTAAACCCGAAACCTCAAACCCCAAAAGCTCCACCCCTCCTCCCTCACTCCTCCCCAGCCCCTTCCCCCAAAGGATGGAACGTCTTTGCAATCCTCGAAAGGTTTTATTTAAGGTTCAGGATCTAGAATGTTCCCCGGCAAGGTCCCGAAGGGCCCAATAATCGCATAGGACACGAGTTGGAGGGTTCTTCTACTTTGGTAGGTAGGCTCCTGTATTGGATTGTTGATCCTGTTTAAACCCTGAACGCTATGCCCAAACCCTGGCTCGAGCCCCTGAACCCACCTCTGGGGGAGGCAGCGCGCTAGCTACCAGGAGCCCCTAAGCCCTAAACCCTAAACCCTAAACTCGAAACCCGAAACCCTGAACCCTGAACCATAAACTCTGAATCCTCGGAGGGATTCGCCACCAGCTGGGAAGACTCGCCTAAGCCCCAAAGCCTAAAATCCAAGCTGCACATTGCTGGGTTGGCCGTCAAGCCCATTGAAGCATGTCTATATAAGGAGCCCCCAAAACAGTAGGATGCCCTTATTATAAGGACTCTAGTTCTTGGAAAGGTTACATCTGCTGACATCACGAGGCTGCACCTCTCGATCTCGCTGGCTTCGATCGCCATGCAGTGCATCACACACCAGAGGCACTCTCCCTCCGGAGTTCAGGGCTTAGGGTTTAGGGTTTAGGGGTCCCAGAGACACATTACCGATTGCGAAACCTGATTTGGGTAGTTCTCACTGGGGGTTGGAAGTAGGGCAAGGTACGTGGCTATGACCTTAGAACCCTAAGAAACCTACGAGCCCTAAACCCTAAACCCTAAACCCTAAGCCGTTCCAAAGTGTGATGTTTCAGTCTTTCTTTGGGTTGTTATGTTTAGGGTCAAGGTTTTAAGGGTTGGTGTCTCCAAGCCCGACCCTGAAACAGTCTGACATGCCCGTCATGGGTCTCCATACATTGTAGCCAAACGACCCATATCACTTTGAAAGCCCGGAGTTCGCAAGGCCTCCTACGCTGGAAAAGGGCAAACTGCCCCAACAGATCTGTTTCGGGTTTAGGGTTGAGGTATACCCTAAACAACAGGGTTTAGGGGTTAGGGTTTAGGTATAACCTTAACAACACCCCTCTAACTTCGACTCCTCAGCCCGCTCCACCGAAGCTCCAGGCCTCGCAAGCTGCGCTCCAGCTGCTGGCAGGCCCGCTTCGTGGCAACGAAAACGATGGCTTTGACATTCTTCCGCCCTTTCCTGGCCCGGGTGATGAGGTCTTGCAGGGTGCACCCCGCAAAGACACCCAAAAAGTGTCTCTCACGCCAGAGACTCCATGATCCTTGAACTAAGAAGTCTTCTTTCAAGGCATACTAGGAGATCTCGAACAACTCAAGGAACACTCAATTCAGGGATTATGGAGTGTGTGGTTCAAAGCCACGTCTGTAAGGTGGTTGTTGTCAGGAACCTAGGAATTCCAAAAAGAACAAGGCGCAACGGGAGCAAGCATGATTTGCCAATGTAGCTCAGCAGCAGTAGGGCACACAGCGCAGACGGTTTCTCCGAGTCGTCGCGGAGGAACATGACATCCTGAATCTTTGACAGATGAATCTTGAGCCCTACTCAAACCCTGACACCCTACAACCCTAAAACCCCTAAGCCCTAAGCCCAAAGCCCTGATCCCCGAGGCCCCTGGAGCCTCACACTCTGTCCTTTTGAAGGTATAGCCCTGTCATGCTGCGAACATTTTTGGGTTCAGGCTTTTTGGGGCTTAGGGTTTAGAGGAGCTTTTTTCGGGCCTAGGGTCTTTCAGGGTTTACGCTCAGTATTTTTGGGGTTCAGGTTGCTAGACACTTCAAGGCCCTGCCTATGGGTTTGGGGGTTTTGGGTTCCTCCCTCTACCAAGAAAAACATTCACCTTCGGACTTATGGTCTACTGAAATGGGAGTATCCCATATTCGGGGGCAGGGGTGCGGGGATTGGAATAACCCACAACAAAGCTTTCAATGACGAGCAAGAATTGGAGAATTCAACTCTTTCAAAACGTTTCCCTGAACCGCAAGTCGGGATCAGAAGGACGGCAAAGACACCAAACAACTGCCAGCCCTGCATCGCCAACAAACTCTCCGAATCCTGTGCCGTATTGGGGTTTAGGCTTTAGGGCTTAGGTGTATTTCCAAAGCTCCCACGTCCTGCACGACATTCGGGTTTGTGCTGAAACATGAATCGCCAGCCTCAGATGATTGCGGAAGCTCGGGTATCGAAGTGGAGGAAGGCTAAACTTGGTGGTCTACGGTCCCCCCCCCCTGTGAGAGACCTCAAGATTCTGCTGTAATTCAGGAATTTTCCTTAGGACTCCTACTGCAACTTCAGGAACTTTCTCTATGGGATAAATGGAGTCTCTGAGCAATCCAGAGCAGCTCTGCTGCTCAGCCACCCCCACACGCACCTCGACAGGCTGGCGCAGGACGGTGGAGGCAAAGGCCTGCCACGAGGGTCGTCAGGTGGACTGGAGAATGTTGCACCCGAAACTCCGAAGCCTTATAAACTCTTAAACCCTAAGCCCTAAAAACCCTAAATCCACCCTAAATCCTAAAACCCTTAAACCCCTAGACCTTGAATCCGTTCTTTGCAAGGGGAAGCATCTGCATATTCGTGTGGCATTTGAATCAGGGAGCCCTGCAGCCCCCTCCCCTCCCCCACGCGGCGAAAGCTCCCTCTTCTATAGCGGAACCTGACTTTGAGTGGGGTTGTTCGCTGCAAGGTTTGAAACTCAAATCTGTCTTTATGTGGAGAAGCGAGAGGGGGGGGGTATATACTGAAGAACAAGGATGGAACATTCCATGCCTCACAAAGCATCGGGGTTTAGGGTTTCGGACTTCGGATTTGAATCAGCTTGTACTTGGGGTAACCTCTATCAGGCCAATTAAGGGACAATTCGACGTCGGATTGAAACCTCAGCTTAAACCCTATAAGCACTAAACCCGAAACCCGAAACCCGAAACCCTGAACTCTAAACCGGAACCCGGGTCATGGCCTTGACCGCCGGTGGCCATGTAGCCGAGAAAAGCAAAGTCCTTAACAAGGACGGAAAGAATTTGGGGGGCTTAGGGTTTAGGGTTTTGGATTTAGGGTTTCGGGTTCAGGGTTTAGGGTTTAGGGATGGAAAGGAACAAGCAAAACGAAAACATGTGTTGGGCACAAAGCCCTTTGCAACCCGACCCGGAATGGGGTACTTAGGCAGGCTAGTTGTAGCTGCCGCGGGGAAGCGCAATAAAAGGCTACGGACGCGTCAGCCCTAAGCCCTAAGCCCCAAGCCCGAAGCCCTAAGCCCTAAACTTTCTTTGAAGCAGAGTCGCAAGAAGAAGTCTGAACCCACAAATTTCGCAAGGAGAGGCTACTCCATTTCTACTCCCTCACCTTAAATTCCAAGCGCTGAGCAGGCCCAACAGGCACCCTACCCCTTTGTAGGGAGTCGCTTGCTTAGTCCCAGAAGTAAGCTTTCCTAAGCCACCCAAACCCCCAAACCTCATGAAAAGCATCTGGCGATTTGGCATCGTCGCCTCCGCCAAGATTTGCCGAACCTGCACTTGATCACGTTGGCGAGCCCAAGATGTATGTGGTGCCCTATTAAGCATGCTATGGTACGATGTACATGAGCAGTGTGTTATCACCTTTGTAGTCCCCAGAACTGCAATAGAAACTGCTGCAAGGCGCACATGAATTAGATATCCCAGACCTTATGTAGACCTCGGCCGAAGTCTTTTAGCGAAGGCTTAGACTTTAGGGTTTAGGTTTTCGGGGTTCGTAGGACTGCATCAATCACATGTTCAGCAGTCTATGAGGCTTAGCCCCGAATCCTGTACCTACTCTTAGTAGGGAATGAAGGAATGAGCTACCCTGAATCAAGGGTATATAGGGGGACAAAAGATACCAAATTCCCTCCCTATTACCCTAAATAAAGGGAAGATATAAGGATATAAGATACCAAATTCCCTCCCTATTAAAGCCAGTACAGGTCTCCTTCAGGCGTGCCTGGACTTCGAAGCCTTCGCCCAACATGCGGTCGGCCTCTTCGGGAATTTCGGCAGGATCTAGAAAGTAGAAGCCTTTCAACTGACAGGCGCATGCTTGGCTCCCTTGTAAGCTTTCAAGGTGGCTTGGGACGGTGTAGTGCAGCTCGCTGAGGAGAGTTGCATTGGCAAAAGAATCTCAAGGTTTAGGGTTGCAAGGGAAACCAGTCCTGCTTGATGTTGAAATCTCCCATCATAGAAAACCTCCCTCCGCCCCCCCAGCTCCCCCCTCACCCCTTTCTTCCCGAAACATGCTTCTCACAGTCTGGGGAAAAATTCCTTCTTGCCTCAGCGTCAGCACATCCTTATAGTTCTCTAAAATTCGGTCCTTTTGGGCCAATAGAATACGGCACGCCTTATGAGAAGGACCCCAGGAGGACCCGAATGGAAAGAACTGCCCGTACAAAGTCCTCTCCAAACTTCCCACAGCCAGGTACTTCGCCTCGTCCAGGACCATGTGGCGCACGTGCTTCAAGGAACAAGGAGCAGGCTCCTCCGCACGCATGGGTGTACCGTTGAGAGCGCCAAGCCCTTAAACGTACAAACTTCAAACCTAAGCGGTTAATTCCAAAAATATCCGGTCCTACACCCACAAGCGCTCGGGATAAGGGTGCATGAACAAGCTGGTGGTTTATAAACATCGGGAACATATTCAGGCAAAGCAATTGGATCTCAATGCACTTCTAGCCAGGCGTCGTATCTTAGGATAGGGTTTCTAAATATGGGCCTCTTATCTTATCGGGGGATCCTTATATGCCCCCTTGTATACTCCGTACCCAAGGGCCGGATGAACCTCTATCAGTGTTTGTATTGGAGCTCCTTAAGGAATCCTTTTTGAGTTTTCCGAGGAATGCGTTGATGAGCTTCGTAATTTTTTGGGAGCTCCCTGATCTCGATAGTCATCTATTGATTTCATTAGGCTCCGTGCTTACAACATATAAACCAGAGACGCCCCAACAAGTTTTTGAGAGTTGTAAAATTCGAGATTCTGTAGACACTCACAGGGATTTCTGTTCATTGGAGCTTGTACAAAAGAACCCGATAAGAATCTTGCTAGAACTTTGGATTTCCTGGCTTCCTGTGAAGTCTATGAGCTTCAGTAAGTGTTGCGCTGGAAACCGCAAAAAGACTCCCATATCAAAAGCTGTTCGAAGTATGCATTCCCTGGCCCAGACAGAGCCTCTGAATTTCACTCGGCTTTCAGACTTGAAGCCAGACATGACAAAGAGGGTCCGATACTTGGAGGTTCTGGGTACTTATAACCCAATTATGACTGTACTCAGAAGCCACTTAGAAGCCCCCGAAGTGCCCGAATAGGGTTCTATTTGGGCTATAAGTACAGTTCTAATTGGATTATGAAGTGCCATGAACCTCCAAGCATTTTAGGGACTTCCTCCATTTCCTGGAGCTGCATCGATTTTATTGGGTATAAAAAACAAAGCATGTGCAAACGAACCCCGCAGCAAAACCAGTTCGAGTCGGGATCTCGTATTTTCCTAAAGACCGCAATTGCATCACCTGGAAACTAGGTCAACTCCTGCAAGGTTCCAAGAGATCCAACAAAGAAAGCCGCTTGAGCTAGGCATTTGCTAGGGATTTCCTAGAACCCAAACAAAAGTTCATTGCGTATTATAATTCCCGAAAGCAAATCCGTGTCTACGAGCCTGTGCATGTCTGGGCTTGAGTTCACGCGTCCCAAACGCTGCAGAAAGCCCTGAACTATACGGATTTTTGTAGGGGGTACTATAATCCGGGACTGTTAGTATAAGGGGTAACACTAAGGGCGTTTCAGGGGTTAAGCCGTAAACTCCTCTTCCAAGAACTCGATCAGCCGTCCCGGTGTGGCTACCACCACTGCAGGCATCCTCATGCAAAGGCTTAAAGATCTGGCGTGCGCGAGTTTTTAATAGGCGTTTAGGGACTTCGGCACACCTTTGTCGCCCTTGAAGGAGTAGAAAGGTAACAACCTATTCCCGAGCTCACATCGGACATAGGGTGCAGGGCCGCAGGTTTCGGAGATGCTTAGGGCTTAGGGCTTCTGGGTTGGCTTAGACCGTCGAATTTCTGAGCCGGAATGATTTAGAAAACCTCTTCCTCTGCTTCAGGATTCCCGCTTCTAAGGCTACCTATGTGCCTGAGACTCTATCATGGCTTGCTCGTGTCTTTTTCCCCTTGCGGCGTCCTATCGCCTTCTTGCGGCGCTTCTTATCGCCTCTTCTTATCGCCTTGCGGCGTTTTAGCAGTTGCAGCTGTAGGGTAGTTTTGGAGTGTACGTTTTAAGTTAGGGTTCAGGGTTGACCCCACTGAACCTCCCGGCAGCGCAGCGAAAAAATGCTCGCCCACCCACCAACCCTTTCACGAAGGACCGCATGCCCACCCAAGGCAAGTCCCTAGGCATCTCAGAGAGCCTGAGGCCCTTGCAGATTCTGGCCACTTGCCTGGAAGACTCTACCCTTTAATACTTATGATTGTTTTGCTTATTTCTTTGGGTGGGGCCCTCCTCCCTAGCATTAGTATCCTATTTCTACAGCCCTAAACCCTGGACCCCCAGCCCTAAAGACCTAAACCTGATGATGGGCGGCGTAGATGACATGGTTTATGGTTTAGGGTGACCATGTACTGTCTGCTCGATGGGCTTCAGATGAGGAGGAAAACCAGAGAGGTCCACGATATGCCACCAACAGCCAGGCCCGTGACACGGGATACTCTGTTACAATACGGCATCATCGCCTTCAGGCTTAGAAGAAGGCATGCCAAAACAGAAGGAAGCACGATAATAGCCCCTAAAGCCCTAAAGCAGAGGAATCCGTAGGCACCCCAAACCCTCCACCCTAAACCTGAAACCGCGCACCGCAAAAAACCTGCATCCTAAATCCTAAACCCCAACACCCCCAAAGCCCACATTCTAGGGTTGTCCCTTGGACCCTTAAGGTTGTACCCACGGGTTTTGAGGAACCTGTCTGTTTAAAGATCCTTGACACAATATAAGGGCCAGATTAGGAGTATATTGATGAATAGAGGGGACCTCTTAGGGGTACATCCTCAGGGGTCTGAGTGGGACTTCCTTGGCACACAATAAGCCGTCCATCCCAAACCTAAACCCCAAAACCCTAAACCCAAAACCCTAAACCCTACAACACCCTGAACCCTAAACCCTAAACCCTAAACCCTAAACCCTAAACCCTAAACTCTCCTCTGTAGCTGAGTGACTTCCTCAGACCCGCGAGTTGCTCGGCCTGACGTTTCCAACCCTACTTCTAGACCTCAGAGTAACCTAGGCATGTTTTGGGTTTAGGGTTTAGGGTTTAGGGTTTAGGGCGACCCAGGAGAAACCTAAAACAGGGTGCCCTCTTTTGGCTGAAAAGAGCCTTGTAAGGGAACCTAAACCGGAAGGAAAGGGAGCAAAGGGCCTACTGTGGGTCTGAGCTACCTTGGAGGTCTATGGCATGGCGAGTAGAATGTATCCTGTATGAGATCAGGGGGGTGGGGTTTAAGGTTTGGGTTTATTCGGGTATGGGGTTGAAGCTTTAGGGCTTTGGGTCTATGCTTGGAGAGTGGATCTGAGGCCATCTAGGAGGCATACAACCAGTTCGTATGACCCACGCCTTGCAGCGTCCAAATCCCAAACCCTAAGCCCTAAGCCCAAACCCTAAACCCTAGACCCTAAACCCTAAACCCTAGACCCACAATGGTTGGGGAGAAGTTCCAAACTTGACCCCGGCCCATCTCCTTGGGAGTGCAAGGGGGGGGGGGGGTGGGGGTGCCCTGTGTGGCTTTCCGCGCGTTGAACTTTGGCCCGCTCTTTGCTGCTAAAGTGAAGGGTACCCTCAATGACCGTTTAAGGGTTCAGGGGGACATGAACCACACACAGGGTACACTTCCCCCATGTACCCTTTTCTGCGTGCCCTTCAGCTGCATCGGTTGTGCCACGTAGTGCCCGTGGCATCGGATAGCCAAACAGCGACGTAAAGGGAACGTTGCCCGGATGGCATGTTTTGGACATGTCTAAACAGTATGTTTGAGACACGTCGAAACCCTGAGCACTAGAAGAGTGGATTGCCCAGCTCTTTGCCGTCCTTCCATGTCCCCTGTCAGGGGTCCTAGGCCCGAATCCCCAAACCTCAAACCCTAAATATGTTAGGATTGTGGTGCGGGGTGGCCACAAGGTTGACGGGGTTGACATGAACGGTTTCTTCCGAGCTCATCGCCTACAGGGCAGCGAAAGTAAGCCGCAAGCCTCAGTGAACCTTAAACCTTAAACCCTAATCTCCTGATGGCCGGTGGAGGAGTGGCCTTCGATGCGCCACCATAGATGGTCTCCAGCAAGATCTGTGTCGTCTTGCAGAACCTCGCAGCTATGATGCCGAAACCTCCTCTCTCTTAGGTTGCCCAATGACCCCTTGAACCTCGTCAAAGCCCTGATGCGCTACAACCCTTTCAAAAAACACTGAACCCTAACACTTCAAGCCCTAAACTCTCTGTCCTCTGTGTGTGGACCCTAAGCCCGAAACCCTAAACCCTGAACCCGAAGCTGCATCCTTAGGGCCAAGGAAGCTACCAGTAGACCTGCAAATTCGCTTAGCCAACGAAAGATTTGTCACAGGACAGACCTGTAAAACACACCAACAGGCAAACGTAGCAAAGGCCAACCCTCAACTACTACTTGCTAGAACCCACCCCCCCCCCCCCCCCCCAACCCCCCCAAAAACGAAACAAGTATAAGGGCAATACAGGGATTGTGATCTTTGTCTTGTTGGGGGGCTTAAGAAACCAGTAGTATCCCCAGAGCCCCCAAAGCCCTTGACGTCTGTTGCCAGCATGCCTCTCAGCGCTGCGCTGGATCTGCGCGACAAGCTCGCGAGTAGGACCAAGCACCTTCATCATAACGAACCGTCTTTAACGGAGTTGATCTTTGTAGGGTTTAGGGTTTAGGTTTTAGGGTTAAGTAACCTCAGGGTTCATCTAATTGCAGTGGGTCCTCTGCTTGAACATGTGGGTCATGTCATGGTTCCGCCAGAGTCGACCACAGACCGTAGCTGGGTGTAGGGTTTACGGTTAAGGGCGCTAAAGTCTTGATTAAGCTCGGAAAGATGTTAAACCGAATCGAAGGCTGCCTCCTTACCTCTCGCAAGCACCCGGTGTCACCTGATACCGTTAACCCCGCCCACCCCTCTGAAGCCATAAGTCCTACTTGGAGGTTTATGGTACTTATTGACGATGCATTACTGTACTTATAACCCACGTATAAGCCCCCTGAGTGCCCCAATATGGTTATAAGTACAGCTACAATTGGTTAATAGGTACTATGAACTTCCAAGTAGTGCAGGCCGGGATGCTAGCATGCGTGGAGCATGCGATGGATTTGGGCGCAGGCTGCGCAGCAAGCTTGCGAAGCCTAAGCTCAAAAGTTTGACTCGTTCGGCGTTGCTTGGGTTTGTTTGAGGGCTTAGGGCTTACGTTTTTATATGGAGTTTAGGTTTTACAGGGTTTGGGTTTCAGGGTTTCGTTATTCAGAAAGTAGAGCTGGAAAAGTGAGCGTCCGTCTGATCACGCGCGCCTCAGGCCGGGAAGCGGGAGGGTCAGAACTTCGAGGAGAAGCAGGGTCCAGGGTCGTTTAGGACCAAACGACCCTAAACCTTAAACCCTAGACCCCAGGCCCTAGACCCCTAAGCCCCAAATAGTCCTATCTCCTCATAATCAGGACCCTACAATCGCTCTCTCACTTCGAAACCCTAAATTCTAAACTCATCGATGCACAGCGGCACACATGGCTTCAGGGCATTTGGGAACTCATGGTCCTTGAGTGCTCCTTGTATGCGTTGAGGCTCCCGAATTGAGAGGCAGGTATCATAAAATTGTTGCAGACGAAGGGCAAGGCAGCAGGTATGCCAACGTCTTTCCAGACCCCGTAGCCGAAATGCCTTCTGGGGCCAGGAGTACCCTAAACCCTAAACCCTGAACCAGCGAGTACACTACGTCAGCTAGGTTGGCCCTGTACATCCTTCGCAAAGACCCTACTAAACCAAAGAAGGGGCCCAATCAAGATTCCAGCTACAGATTATCTAGGAATTTGGGGTTCAGGGGATGTGTGTCTGGGATGGCAGGTTGCGGATCCATGTATCTTTATGTGTTCACACATACGTACTTACATACCATATTTAGGATTCCGGGCTGGGGGTTTAGACCCAGAGAGCTTCGACCTCGCGACTCGTGACCTCTCAACCCGAAGTTTCTGACGCACGGTCGTTTCAATACAGGGTTTAGGTTTGGGGTTTGGGGTTTAGGGTTTGGGGTTTAGGGTTGCCGCACAAACAATATGAGTGCACTTTTCTGCTTGTTGGGTTTCTAGGCTGGCACCTGACAGTGCCTGGCATGGCAGCTAGATGGAGCCCAGCCGGAACAAAAACCTCATCCCCTCTTGTCAGCGCGAACCCGACATGCCCCGAAATTCGAAACCCCGAAAACCCCGAAAACCCCCGACATGCCCCAAACCCCAAACATTAAACCCCCAAAGCCGCAAGAACCCTTAGACCCCGAACCCCCAAACTCTAACCAATAGGCCCTAAACCCCTCAACCACAGAACCACATGCCTCTCAGACCCTGCAGAGACGACAGGCCTACGAGATCCCGGCCGGCGGCAATGATCGGAATCGCATGCGCCTGGATCCTTGTATCTGTGGGCTTCCAAGGATTGGGGTTTAGGGTTTGGAGGGTTACCCCTAAACCTAACCCTAAACCCCAAACCTAATTTTGGAAGAAGATCAGTATAAGGACGAAAACTAAAACCCCTTAGGCAGGCTGGCCGTGACCAAGTACGTGCTAAAACCCCCTCCTCAAAAACAAATTCGAAAACACAAGAACCCTAAGAACCCTAAACGAGCTCTAAAAACGATAAACCCTAAAGCCCTCCCAAAGAAGCCCCAAAAACCAAAAACAAAGCGCAAAAGCCAAAACCCCTGAAAAACCCTACAAAAGCCCGAAAAGCCCTAAACCCTAAACACCTAAGCCGTTCAAGAGAACCCTCAAGGCCGCACGAGATTCGGTGTGGGCACGTCGAAACCCAGCTCTTGCAGGGGCTGCTGAAGCTTGGTGGGAAGAACCTCTCGCATGAAGACCGGGATGTAGGGTTTGTTTTGGAGCAGCTTGCGCGTCCAAATGGGATATAGGGCTTGGGGTTAACTAAAATGTAGGGTTCAGGGTTCAGGGTTAGGGTTGCTAGGGTAGGCTGTGGTGCAGGGGTTTAGGGCCAGGTTGCCGGTGTGAAGGGTTCGAAGGGTCAGGACAGTGCAGTAAAAAACCCTAAGCCCTAAACCCTACAGCTTAAACCTAAAACCCCAAACCCTAATCCTAAACCCTAAACCCGAAGCCCTCAACCCTAAACTCTAAACCCTGCTCTTCAGGCCGAGGCGCCGTGCGGGACTCCCGGAAGTTGGTCAAAGGCGCCGGCACGCTGTCTTGGCCGCCATGCTGCTGCACCTGCAGGGGGGTGAGGTTTAGGGTTTAGGGTTTAGGGTTTAGGGTTTAGGGTTTAGGGTTTAGGGTTTAGGGTTTAGGGTTTAGGGTTTAGGGTTTAGGGTTTAGGGTTCAGGGTTTAGGGTTTAGGGTCTAGGGTCTAGGGTTTAAGGGTTAGGGTTTAGGGGCTCTGGGGTTCGGGTTTTGGGTTCAGGGGTTAGGGTTTAAGGTTTGGGTTTGAAGGGTTGAAGGTTTAAAGGGTTGAAGGGCTTAGGGTTTAGGATGTGGTACAACCCCGAAACCCTAAAACCCTAAACCCTGAGTTTAGTACCCTACACTACTCTTGGGACTTAAGAACCCTTTGTTGGGTCTACTTTCTAGATCCGTCCATGCAGGTCTGGGAAGGGTTGCGCTTTGGGCGTTGCCGTTCGGTCTGCTGTTTGGCAAGCACCTGGTAAGTGTTGAATGGTAGCAGCCAGGTTGCCCAGCAACCTAGCTAGAGGATGCAAAAGCGTCCCTACTTTGCTTCGTGGAGTGTTATCAGGAAACCACTAGAAAACAGTGCATAAGGGCACTCCTGGGCATCCTAGGCGGGGAAATGGGAGACCAGTTGGCTGTCCAGGCCGTGCCTGGACAGTCGGCGGCTGCTGGGCTATCCTCGGCGCACGGACAGGGTTCTCGTGCCACATGTCCTAGACATCATGGGTAGAACTTTGAGGCTTGGTACGTCTACCGCCCCCCCCCCCCCCCCCCCCCCCCCCCCCAAACAAAAAAAAAAAAACAAAACACAACTCCAACATCTAGGAAGTTGCATTTCATTTCAACGACCTCACCACAGGTCCCGACGAGGCAAAGACTTAACTTAAACACCGTTCTGCATTGTGGCCACACTAGAACCTAAACTCCAAACACTCAGCACAAGGCCCACACGATTCTTCAACATATACTTTCACATCTACACATTTGGTAGGTGATCAAAATACCAGTTCCCAAAACGGCCCTATCTTTCCCCTTCTAGCTATTACCCACCCAGCCCCATGGGAACCCTCAATAATTTCCCAGAAGGACCTTTTAGATCAGACGCCCCCCCAAACCCTAAACCCTAAACCCTAAACCCTAAACCCTGAACCCTAAACCCTGTTTCTGCTTCACTTCTGCCGCCGGAGCTTCGCCTCCTCCTCTCCGAAAACCTCGGGGCCGATACTGGGCTCCTCCTTCGGAGGAGACGCCGCTGCTGCGGGCGCGGCCTCTGGGATTTAGGGTTTAGGGTGTAGGGTTTAGGGTGTAGGGTTTAGGGTGTAGGGTTTAGGGTTTCAGGGCGCGTTATGAGAGCCACTGAGCCCGGAGTTCTTTTAGCCCCAAACCCCAAACCCCAAACCCTAAACCCGTGTGGAATTTGCAGGGTCAAAGTTTGTAGAACCACCCCAAGGTTCGCAGGGGGATGTTGGCCTTCTATTTCTACTTAAGGTTTTAGGGTTTAGGGTTTAAGGTTTAGGGTCTAGGGTTCAGGGTTGGGGTGCCTCCTTTCTCCCTGCCTGGCATTCGGCCCACGGCTCGTGCCCACATTGCCTTGAACCCTAAACCCTGACGACTAAACTCCACAACCAAAACCCTAAAGCAGCAAACCCGAAAGCCCTAAAGCCAGCCTTGTGTGAAGGAGGCTGGGGTCTTCTTTGCTCCTGTCCCGCGACGTCACGGAGGTACCTGGCTTGGTGGGGCAACTAGGGTTTTTGAGGGTTGTAGGCCATTTTTGTGTCGGTTTAGGGTTTAGGGTTTAGGGTTTAGGGTTTAGGGTTTAGGGTTTAGGGTTTAGGGTTTAGGGTTTAGGGTTTAGGATTCTTCAGGGCTTCTAGGGCTTGTAGGGTAGGCTTTCCGGCAGTTCAGGTGCGGGTCCCTGGATGCCCCATATGGGGGTTTACGACAACAAGGGATCCCTGCATAACAGGGATCCCCATAAGGACCCCTAAACCCCCACATGAGGTATTGTTATCATTTCTTACAATTCTTTCTAGTAGGTATTGTTTAAATATTCATTACAAATTTTTCTAATGCTGCTCGTCAGAAGAGTATTCAATACAAAAAAAGGAGCCATATAGCCATACATACACTCACCAAGAACAGAAAAGCTATATGGTCTGGGACTGTTCGGGAGCAGGAAGTAGGGCATACTTGGAGGTTCATGGTACTTACTCACCAAGTATTAATTGCAATTATAACCCCACAATAATCATATTAGGGTACTTAACTTATAACTGGGCCATAAATGCAGTTAGACTTGGTTATGAAGTACCACGAACCTCCAAGTAGAGACATTCGGTTCGTTCTCTCTCGTACGCCGAGCCCCCGTTCAGCCTGATCCCGTTCAGCCTGATCTTGGTTGATCACGCATGGTTGTGGCGATTTCAACTCCACTTTCATGTCATCTGTAGTCTTGAATACTTGGGCATCTTATTCAACATTGAACTCTCTCCTACCTTCGAATGGGTTTAGGGTTTCAGGCTTAGGCGCCCGTAGCTGCCTCATTGGATCTAAGGCTACAGCAAAAGAACTACGGAGGAATCCTTGATCTTTGGAAGATGCTCTACTGGGCCTGGGTCGACAGCTTCTGCAGGTGCGTACAGCGGCTTCCGTGCTCACAGGCTTCTCAATAAGCATGTTCCGCCATGGGGTTTCGACAAGAAGGTCCGCGTAATGCCTTGGGGTTCGGGCTTGGCTGTAGGACTTGTAGCTACATCCTGGGGCCACTATTCCCTTCATCATCATCATCATCATCATCATCATCATCATCATCATCATCATCGTCATCCCTAAACCCTAAACCCGACTTTTGGGAAACCTTCCCTCCCCCCTAGAGGCCCAAAGCTCAGAACCTTAAAGCCCCGAGGCCCT